GACAATGATGATTGCTGCGAGGGAAAGGCGCGTGACTGAGATTGTGGTCAGTGAGGGGTTCAAGCCTGATACGGTGGAGTATGAGGATCGAATGATGGAGTTGAGGAGTCGGTTGGTAGCATTGGCTAGTAACCAGGCGCACAGCAGTACGGCGAAGGGGGCGTTGTTGGCAGGAACGAGGTTTAGGAGTGTCGAGGCGAGATTGGAGGATAACTTGGAGATGACTGGGGAGAGGTTGAGGGATGTTTTGGAGGGGTTGGATCGGAATAACCTGACGCCTTACTTCATTACCTTGGGTCTTGGTACGACGAATTCGTGTGCCGTTGATCGGTTCCGAGAGATCAAGGCTGTTCTGGCGGAGAAGGAGCATTGGAAGAGGATTTGGGTCCATATTGATGCTGCTTATGCGGGTGCGGCGCTGGTCGCGGATGAGTGGCAGTATCTGTCGAAGGAGTTCGCCGAAGGAGTCGACAGCTTCAATCTGAATATGCACAAGTGGCTGTTGGTTAACTTTGATGCTAGGTTTGTGCTTTCTCCATTCCTTTACGATGTTATAAGTTGCTAACTGGCATAGTTGCCTCTTCATTCGCAACCGCGAAGACCTCACTAACGCCCTTGACATCACCCCTGCCTACCTGCGCAACCACTACTCCGACTCCGGCAAGGTGACCGACTACCGTAACTGGAGCATGTCTCTGGGCCGTCGGTTCCGTGCCCTGAAGATCTGGTTTGTCATGCGCAGCTACGGCCTTACCGGCATGAAGGACTACATCCGCAAGTCTATCGGACTAGGAGAGACCTTTGCGAGTCTGGTCCGCAGTCGGGCTGATCTGTTTGATATTATCACAACTCCTGCCTTTGGGTTGACTGTGTTCCGAATCAAGAGCCCCAAGTCGGGAACAACAATGGTAGAAGCTGAGAATGGGGTTGTTGTTGCACAGCCGGATGAGGCTGCGAACGAGTTGACCAAGGAGGTGTATGAATTGGTTAACTCTCGGGGAGAGATCTTCATCACTTCGACCGTTATCTGTAAGGTTTATGCTATTCGGGTTGTGAGTACGAACCCAGCGGCCGAGGAGAAGTATGTTAGGAGGGCGTTCGAGATTTTGGTGGAGACGGCGGAGGAGGTTATCAAAAGGGGGTAGGTGTTAGATACCATTTTTGGATGTTGTGATTGCCTGTAGATATGATATATGATATTGCATTCAGATAGTACTTTATGGGTCGCATGTGGCATAGCTCTCCCAGAACAATGGCCTTGGATAATTGGCAGTGAATTCAGATATCACCAGACATTAGAGAAAGTACCAAGCTAAAATCAACAAAGCAACATTCACGTATGGTGAAAGTCAAACAACTCACATTAAGCGGATAAACCCATCCTTATCCATACGACAAAGAGTGAATAAATTCTATATTTCAAAGCATTGTTAACCTACAATGTACAAAGAAAACACACTAGATATCAGTGAAGATGTTATTGAGGTAGAAGTGAGGTCTTGATAAAACAGCCGTATTACCAAATCAAGCCTGACCACCAGTTATTTCAGTAAAAGTGAAGCTGACAATCCACTCTAATGATCAGTGACCATGACTGAGACAAACTTGGCAGGAACAAAATATCTCCATCCTCAATCACTTCATCATCCCGGGGTTGTTCGTCCTTTGGCACATCACCAAGCCCAAGCTTCTTCGATTCCAGACCTCTTCTACCTTCTTGATTAGCGCGTCCAGAATATCTGGCCAAGATGTTGGCTTGGTGATTTGCTGAACATGCTCATATATGATATTCCCAATGTAATATACGTTGTGAGAGGTGATAATGTGGAGAGGCTCTCCGGTCTCCAGGGTTGTTACCTGGACAGGAAACACATCTTTGAGGCCATGGCATCTGGCGAATTCCAAGTGGGACTTCAGTAGTCTAGATTGAACATCAATCAATATGCTTTGCCGGGCGAGGCTTGGCTGTACATTATCTCGACTTCCGGGGAGCTCCATCTCCTTGACTTCGAGAGAAACTCGCTCGTAAAAGGGGTTGGCGGAGTTTCGGATTGGCATGTCTATTATGGCGGTAACCGTGTCTGAGAGAACTGTTTTCTGGAAATTCAGATAGATTCAGCAAATGAACCAACAGTATAAAGAAAGGCACCGTTCAGTGGAGGGGAACTGCAGATGAAGTCTCGGCCAAGTAGACACGCCATCTAGTTATGCAAATGGTGCGAGGGTAGGACCCGGCAGAGTCAGCCATTAGTTTCTTAGATGTAGGATTATGATGACTGTCAAATCCCCTGCCAATTCTTACGATATAAAGAAGTACATCAAGCTAAACATTGAACTTCACTCGTGACAAAGACATATGCTTTCCACAACGCAGAGAAACCGCGAATGGCCGCCCACCCACGCAAGAAAGACCATATAATGATAAAGTCATTGTAAATCAGTGACAAAGCCACACTATGCATGCAATGGAAGATCCCACTGCAGACCGTACATTACATCGAAGGACTACCGTTCTTCTCAAAAGGAAACAATGCACCAACCACAATCTCTCAAAGACATCCGCAGATCATATAAGTACTTATCACCTCTTCAGAAACCCAGTCTTGGTCAACACGTTTCATCTATCACCCCCTATTCTTCCTTGCCTTTGTAATGCGCACAGCCAGAGAAGGCAAACCCCATGCCATGCATTACCAGTACTATAGAGTAGCAAACCAACATGGATGTCTCCGAATCATGTTCCCCTGAACGAAAGATAAATAGGTGTACATGTACCGCTTGAACAGGGGGATGTATCGACTACCAGCCCTAGTTCCATCACCTGTCACTGCCAGCATCGCTATATAGACGTCATTTGTCAACACACGCAAAATTTGAGAGAAAAAAACCCCATTTGTCGTTTGACTATTCAAGATGCACCACGTCGAAGAACCAATTGCTCAGATGGAGGACTTCAACATGCTCAGTGATACTGATATGGATATGGTTGATGGGTTGGTGCCAAATTCTGCCGCCTGTGGCTTCATCCCTACCTCCAACCCCGCTGATTTTAAGGAGAATATACCTCCTCCAGCAGAGGATGAAGGCACCATCGACGACGATGCTACCGATGTGGCTACCGAGGTAGCTACCGAGGTTGATCTCAACGAAGTCATGGAGGACTTGGACATCGATCATGACTATGAGGCGTCCGAGAGTGGGGATGATAGAGAGTACAGTGAGGAGGATATGGACCTTGCGGATGGTGATAGTGAGCAAGGTGTCGACAGCGACTGGGGGGATGATGGAGAACGGAGAGAAGATGAAGAAGATGAAGAAGACTACGATCCTGAAAATGCGCCCATCAAGAAATCCAGTGTTGATCGCATCGAAGACACCTTCGATCATCTGTATGAGAATGACGCACATCTATCATCTCATCATGATGAGGATGATAGCATGAAAGATCTGGTCTATGGGGATACCGAAAGCGATGACTCTGGATCAGATGAGTCTGATGATGGAGACATGGAGGATATCTCAACCGACGACCAGGATGAACCTGTCTGTTGTATCTGCTCGAAAATGGATATGTCAGACGATGACGATGAGAGTGAATCTGAGGATGATTCTGAGGATGATCCTGAGGATGATTCTGAATACGACGATGAACACGTCCACGACGAGGATGACGCTGTGTGCTTCCCTGGATGCGACTATCTAGGATGGACCAATTATGTGGAAGGGCGCAAGAAGAAGCAGGGGATTATTCATGATCTGCGCCCGTACTCAAAAGATCCAACGGCGAAACTAGATGTGTTGATTAAAATCACAACTTACTGTCCACCTACCCTAATTCGCGTCCCCGTGAAGCCACTAGTCCTTTCATCCAGGGTCTTCGCCGAAATCTTCGGATATCAAGAAACCGACGACGCACAGCCTAACAACCAGGCTCGCTGGGACGAGGATGAGCTTGTCTGGGTGAAAGATCTGTCATACGATTGGCCCAATCCCGCAGCTATGCTATGGGTTCTGCAAACCCTGAACAGGGGATGGATCGATTGGTGGAAACCTGTTGAGCTTGTGTTTCTCAAGGACATCGCTGTTATTGTGGATAGATTCGAGCTACGAGATGCCATGAAGCCCTTTTCGGCTGCCTGGCTGGAAAACACCTGTGTGAGACCAGAAAGATATGTGCCCTCACACAAAGAGCTAGTGGACTGGGTGTTGTTCATTACTTGGGTATTTCAGTCTGGATCCGGACGGGATTTCCGATATGCTACGCGTGGTGTGATTATGGATTACACGTTCAAGTCCAAGCCAAAAGACGGACTTCTGCCCAGGGATATGTATGAAGCTATTTACCAAGCTCGATCGGAGCTGTATCAGAGCTTTGAGGAAATTATCCGGAAATACTTGAGTTTCACGCTTGAGAACGAGCAGAAGAGTTATCGGACTCCCTGTGAGCATCAATCATTGCATCCTTGGCTACTAATCTTTACGGCCGTGGAAAATCCAAGCGCGCACAAGGTGTCGCTGAGTCATGTTCATCAGAAGATGAAATCGCTGATGTTCAACACCCCCAAACCTGAGACTTTATACTGTGCGTGGTGTGAGGGGACATGGAGAACCCTACAAGCCTGCGAAGATGAGATGCGACGGACACTGGGGATCGACTGTGATGGGAATCAGGTACAAGAGTCCGACAAATGCGAGGGTACGTGTTTGCATCTGCCGCAGTTCAACTTCGAGCGATGGTCCTGGCCTAGTCCAGACTGGGTGGGATGCAGGGCTGATACAAAGCCGTGCACGAAGATCGATGGGTTTGACGCAAGTCGTGAAAAGGATGAAGACAGCATAGTGTATTTTTAGAAGGCGCCTTTCGCTGTGCCATACACGGGAATGGTCTCTAGGTTCAATCCACTCGGGGAATTTCCCCGCACTTACGCCATGACTGCATTATTAATGCAACTGTATCACATCAGCAATAACTAGTATATATCTCTCTTTTTTGCTCACTCTTTCTACTTGTTTCTTCAATACACAAGCACTAGTGCAACTCATCTTCCCCTCCACCATAACCATGCCCCTCGCTAGAGCAACCTTCAACGACATCGTCCTCGCCGAATCTCCCACCTGGGAGACCGTCGAAGGGAACATCTATGTAAGCCCCCAAACCACATAGCCTAGATACCCAAACCGACTTAACACATTATTCAGTTCCCACCCACAGCAATTAAAGATAAATCACTCTTCGTCCCGATCGACAAAGTGACATATTGTCCGTGGAAAGGAGATGCATCCTATTACTCTCTCGTGATTGGGCGTGAGGATCTCTCTCCACCTCTTCTTTGATTCAAACTCCTCGCTGGGGAGACAGAGTGATTGTATCGTTGTTAACAGTTTGATATCTAGCTACGTCAATCCCTGGTGCAGCGTGGTATTATCCCAGCCCATATGACGCTGCAAGCAATATCAAGGACCATGTAGCGTTTTGTATGTTTGACCTATTAATTGTTTCCAGGCTAGGTGAAGTTGTGAAGTCAGCTAACAGCGCATGGATTCAGACACGACAGAGGGTATCAAAGTGACCGTGGATTGAAAGCATAGTTGAGCTTGATGAATGGCATGTTTGTAGTAAGCATGGATGATTGATACAGAAGTACTAGTTTGATATAACATCCACATTTAATACTCGAGTAAATCTATCCTAGTACGAAAGAAACAGGCACTCGTCACTCACTACTCCCCTCCTTCACAAGGCCATACTTCTTCTTCAAAAAAATGAATGGCGGCCTCCGCCAACTTTCCAATCTTCCCAATCTTCGCAATCTCCACCATGTTAATATCCCAGTTCGAGATCGCCTCGCAACCCGCGCTGGATTTCCACCGCCATAAGGGAGTCAATCGGCATCTCTACAATACCCTCCGCGGACGTCTCAGCAGCCCGCGGCATATGTCGTGCCAGGTGCTTGCTCAATTCGTAAGTCAGATTGTTCTCCACATCGGGCTCAAGGAGCATGGCCGGGTTCTGCTCGATCCGCCGCAGGAGCTCTTTGAAGGCTGCCCCACCAGCAGTTGTGCTTCGTCCTTCCTTCACCTCGATATCGGTATAGAGGGAGAATCGCGGGTCGGAATGCGGCCACACTGTCCGGACAGTAGGGTCGCTTGTGAGGCGTGTGTTTCCAAGGCCGACAATACAGGCGTCTGACGTTATCCCCAGCGAGGTGGTGGACCGCTTCGTGGAGCTCTTGGAACATAAGTATGGGTGCTGCGCTGTGGATAATAACAGTCACTTCCTGCTGTAGTCTATCTCGATCGGCTTTCCTCTCAATCCCAGGTGTGGCTCGGTGGTATCGCCGATGAGGCAGAGCACTTTGCCGGAGTCGAAAATCTCTTTCACCCGTTTCATCGATGCTCCCATTTGTCCATGGCATGTACAAAAGAGCGGCGACACAGTACGTAGTTCTTTTTCGTGGGCAACTGCACCGCCAATTTGTATAGGATACATCCTCCAAAGTTGCCAGTGGCTCCGGTCAGGAAGACCACTTGATCGTGATCCATGGTTGTCCTGAATTGTCAGGGTATCAGAAGGCAACGCTGCCTATATGGTCCCTGGAGGGAAGGAGAATTGTCGCTTTCCGATGGGGTCAGACAAGAGACGGATGATCTGGCTGAAACGTAGGGAATAACCCATGACGGACAGTGGTAGAGCCATGTCCAAACAAACCGTTCGGGATATATTTTCGCAGTGATCATTAGGGTATGGTGGTGGGTGGGCACGAGATCCAGGGCAGGTATTTGCGAAGAATCAGCCAGGCGTCTATATACAATCGAGATGCCAAGGACTTCAAGTAGCGGTCTGCAAAGTTGTAACCTTTGATGACGGCGTATAATTGTGTAAATGCAAACATTGCTTGCATGCTAGAACAAAGCCAAATGACAGGAGATCCTCTGGAGTATTACTGAGACTGTCTGGAATTGACCAGATCATCCCCGAGATAGCTCTGGGTCTGTCAGCTCATTCAATAGTTCCGTCCAGTCTGCAGTGTCCAGGGCTAGGTCGTTTCCTGTCTCAAGCATCTCGGTCCAGATGTCCTCCAATTGTCTCTCTTGGGGAATATTTTCACCAGTGATAGCTGGAGGATGTGGCGGGGCATTGCTTAATTCGGTTCCGAGAGGTTGGGTGTAAGCCTGTGTGTGACCCGGCTGATAACGCGCTGCGTCATTCCCACGTGGAACAACAGGGGGGTTCTCGTCACTCCGTTGCAACTTTCCAGTCCTCCAATGCTTTTGTAGTACACCCATCATGGCATTTATTCCTTCCCTGACCAGAGCAGACGACTCTTGTGCCTTGCTCAGCATGCGGCAGGCATCTAGCACTTCTTCTTTTCGTTTCTCGGCTAGTATATCGTCCCAGTTGAAGCACACGTCCAGTAATAGTATCACGGCGGCAGCGAATACATGATGCATGACTGACCAGACGACAGAGTTTGGCGGAGTATAGTTTGGTTCGTTTCCATCCATGATCCTCTTAATCTCCAGTACCTTTCGGGCAGATTGTAGACAAATAACGTGAGAATATGAGTATGCTGGTTCACGGGCCCCTCTAATGAAGAAGTCACGATGTAGGCGGCACAGGCGTGAGAAGAAGCCCTGTTGCAGGAGACAGCCTTGCCAGGCAATGGTCGGGCGCTCCTCGTAGAGTGAAGCGAAACGTCGTCTGGACGATGGATCCAGGCGGAAGAAATCCGGGATTTCCGCCACAGCTTGATGGAACTTTCGATCTAGCTCGAGAACTTTTTCGTACTGTGGTTCCAAGCCATGCAGGTGCTCGTAGGATGTTGCATCAACTACCTCCCGGCTGACAGACGCTAGTTTCAGACGTTGGAGGAAGAAGGACATGTCTGTTGGTGTGGAACTTGGCAGTGATACCATGTCGTGGTACATGGCATTGTCATCTATGTTCAATGGCTGGTTCACGTTCATGTGGCATGGCTGGATAAGATACGTCCACTCTTGAGGACCAGGTAGGAAGCCCAGTAGCCTGCAATCTTTATTGAGCAATTGGCATTCATAGAGCTTTGGATAGTTCTTACCAGTCAAACGACGTCAGATCCCACCATATCCGTCTCTTCAGTTCCAGATCTATGGAATTGTAATCAACTCCCTCTCTCTCATTCCGAAACCGTGGAGAGTCAATACAATGAAGCATAAGACTCTTTGCTTGGCTGACGATAGCACCGTGCACAAAGAGACCGCTCACAGACGGTGGAATGTTCCAGTTGGAGACATTATGCATGACTACCATGGTGGCCTGCAAGCCCACGAGCGTCGGAGACAGGGAGTAATGGCCCTGAATCAACGCGGCACCAGTAAGAAAGGCAAACTCTCGGCTTCGATCTCCTACATCAGAAGATGCCACCACACTTTGCTGCAGACATAGAGAGCTGGCTAGGATGCCGAAAAGCAGCGCCAAGTGGCTGAGGTCTACGGGCTCACCCCTTTCGATGCAACAGTAGATCCCATCTATTTGGTCCTCCACGCGCTTAGGGACAAGTATATGGTAGAGATAGTCGACGTAGCGATGATAATATTGAAAGAGATCCAAAGCCTCCGATTTTGCGGGGATAAAGTCAATCAAGTTGATCGACGCCGGATTCTCGTTGATGGCGGACCGATTCATGTATGGCATTGATAGCAGGGGTCTTGCTGGCCCTGCCTTCTCATTGACGCTCAAGTTGTGCCCTCTTACCGAATCGTCTAGTTCATCTCGAAACCATTTTGGGGTTGCTGTCGGCACCCGGTCAGCCATGTGGATGTTCTCTAGCCAGTCCGCTGTGAGTAGCGACTCCCGATTACTTGGCTGCAATGGAGCATCAGTAGGTCCGGTAGAAGCATTTTCGGCTCCCGGGGGCACACTTGTGCTACTCGCAGGAGGCGTCCGCATTGCGCCAGCCGGTGATGGGTTGGGAACCCTTGCGGCCTCTGGTCTCCCATAAATGCACGCCAATCGGCGCGCGGAGCAACTGCTGCATGGCTGCTGACGATCGCATTTAATTTTCTTGTGCCGACAAGAGTCGCAAGACACGGGGTCCTGCCTGGGAGCGCGTCTGGAGGTATGCGGCAGATGTAATGCAGCCTTGCGCTTCATGATGAGATGCTGAGTTGATAACTTGCCCGGAGGCGATTTATTGGGCAGGTCACGTGATTGTCAGCATCCGCTTCAGCAAACAGTCATTTCACTTCTGCACTACAATGTTGTAGAGAGCAATGTTCTGTGATGCTGAAAGAATTGTTGTCGGTTGTTTCTTGCGGTGGTGTGGAGTGGTTGAACTTGATGGCTAACCGCCGCCGCCCGGAAGCTCCGCGGACAGTCCGAGCCTCCATCAAGCTTCGTACATACTTACATACTATCACAACACCATGAACCATGTCCCCGGAGGCTCCGGGGCTTACAACTTCGATATGTACTACTTGTCACTGTATACAAATGATATATATGCGCTCAAAGGCTCTGGCTTCAAACATGTTCCATCAACCCAAAATAACATTGAGCCTCACTAGACACTATATCTTCAGCTTCACCTTGTCAAACCTAACTAGCAACCATGGCTCACCCTAACGATGCCCCTTCCACCAAAACACCCTCCGAATACACGTACCTCCCCCATACCCCCAACAAAAAGCACATCACTAACTACCACCAGACCCCTCGCAATAATGACCCTCCTCGGCTCATTCTGCGGCATGTTCTGCACCGTCGGCTTCGTAAACTCCTTCGGCCTCTTCCTCGAGTACTACAAAAAAGACCAACTCTCCAACCAACCCGAATCAACCATCGCATGGATAGCCTCAATCGACATATTCTTCATCTTCGGGGTGTCTGTCGTATCTGGCCCTCTCCTGGACACACTCGGGCCACGAGTGCGTATCCGCCCCATGCATATCCACACTATACTGACTAGTAAACGATGCAGCTCCTCCTCTGCATCGGCTCCCTCGGAACCATCTTCTCCATAATGATGACCTCCCTCTGCAAGCAACTCTACCAATTCATCCTCGCCCAAGGCATCCTCCTTGGCATCTCCCTATCCCTACTCACCTGCCCCATGATCGCCCTCGTCGGCCAACACATCAAGACCAAGCGCGGCGCAGCAGTCGGCATTGTGATCGGGGGATCCTCCCTCGGCGGCGTCCTCTGGCCGATCATCGTTAATGAACTACTCAAGAAACCCAACATCGGGTTCGGATGGACTATGCGCATCGTGGGATTCATCATGTTGCCGCTACTCACAGTGACTTGTTTTTGTTGTAGACCTGCTTCACCTCCTTCACCGTCACCATCCCAACAACCACAGGCGCACCCAGAACCAGAATCAGAGAAACCTTCCCCTGCACCCCAACCTCAAAAAGAAGCAGAACCACCCCTCCTCAAAAACCCAACCCTCCACCTAACCTGCCTCTCCTTCTTCATCATCTACTTCGGGATGTTCTCGCCCTTCTTCTACGTCTCCAGCTACGGCGTAGCAAAGGGCTTTTCCTCCTCGTTGTCATTCTACTCAATCTCAATGCTGAACGGCGCGTCCCTGTTCGGGAGGATCATCGGCGGCATACTAGCTGACAAGTACGGACGGTTTAATGTCTGTATCGTGTTTACGATCCTCTCCGGGGTGGTTTGTCTCTGTTGGACGAAGGCGACGAGTGTGGCTGGGTTGGTGGTGTTTGCGGTGGCGTATGGGTTTGCTTCGGGGGTGAGTATATCCCTTTCCCCTTCTTCTCTTTTCTATTCCCGAGGGGTGGATGATGAAAGCTAATGATGGATGTGTATAGGCTATCCTTTCCCTCCAACAAGCATGTGCATTGCAGCTTGCTACGCCGAAGACGGTGGGGTTGGCGGTGGGGGTTGTTATGGGGGCTACGGCTTTGAGGTATGATCTATTTCATGTGTGGTTTGTGTTCGTTGTGATGGTGTTGCTTTGCTAACGGTATCTGGGATGGGATATAGTGCTATGGCTGGAATACCTATCTCTGGAGCGCTGGTGCAAAAGTATGGGTTTCTTGCGCTGTCGGTATACGCTGGGCTGAGTCTGTTGGTGGGTGGGGTGTTGTTGGTTGTGGCGAGGGGGAAGCAGAGGTTGGAATTCTGGGTTGTTGTTTGAGTTCTTATATACTGGGGGTGTTGAGTGGCTGATGGGATGTTGTGTGGTTCAGTTGTTGGTATGGTATGTTCAGTAGGATACAGGGTAATGGCTGTTTTATAGATTTCCTTCATCTTCAGCTTCGCCGATGCTGTATTAGTGCTAGCTATAGTCCTCCTCTAATAACCAGATATCTCCACTCATCTGCTACACCTAACATCCCCTAGGGAGAAGTGTACTCCCCCTCCGCATCCGACTTAAACCACCACCACTATAACCCGCTCCCTGCCCCAATCCTCTCTTCGCAAACCCCCTCCATATCTCGCATCGATTCTTCCCCCCAGTCAACACAATATCTGCGTCGAGAATGGCATCTCTCGCTTGCACGAAGTTCGGATTACATGGTTGTCTTCATTCAATCATTAGTCACGATCCGACGGACACCCCGAAGGTGATAAAAAAGCTATTCTGTGGACCACTTACAGCGCCATCCCATCCACCACCAACTTCATCATCAAGTACTTTCCATCTGTCGGCACCCCGTTCCTGAACACCGGTCTGGGACCATCATTCTTCCCGTACTTATCAATGAGATTCCACATCACCTCGTACAGCATAGTCGCCCAGACAGTTCCGATAGCGTGCACACCATTCATGGTATTCACGCTCGTGTAGTTCAGAGTGTTCTCGGCAAATGAAGTAGAATAGGGATAGTCGCGGACGCCGCGTTTATCGTTATCCGCCCAGGCGCCCATAGTGTAAGACGTCCTGCGTGTATCGTTGGGCTTGATTCGAATGGCCGTGGCCATAAAGTCGCCCCAGCCTTCGCCCATACCGCCTGATTCGAGGGTATTGAGGCATCCGGCGTTATGGGAGCCACCGGTGAGGCGGTTCGATACTGAGAGGATAGAAGACTGAGTGATTTAGTCAATAGGTAAGGGGAGAGGGGGGTTTACCACCGTGAGTGTATTCGTGGATTACGATTCCCTCGTCGAAACTTCCATCACGCGACGGAGTGGATTCGATCCAGATGTACATGCGCATACGACCCGGGATGCCGTCGGGGGGAGTGGCAAAGTTTGCGTTGCTGTATCCGGAGCCGTCTTGGGCGTTGAGGATCACGTAGTCTTTGTCGCGGCCGCCGTGGATGCTGTTGTTCCATTGGAAGTTGCCGGCGGGTTCGGTGAAGCCTAGTGTGTAGAGGAGGTCGTGGTAGGTGTTTGCTGTGTAGAAGAGCTGGACGATGGAGGCGTTGATGTATGATCGGGGTGGGGACATGTTGGGGGAGTAGGGATATTGGAAGTTCAAGTCGGGGTTGGATGGGCGTAGGTTGTAGAGATAGGAGCCACCGCCGGTGGGATTCCAGTGCGCGATGGCGTTGTTGCCTTTCGTTGTGGTGTAGTTGTTTTGTCCGTCGCTGATCCAGGTGTATTCGGATGCGGATAGGTCCCAGGGGTTGAGGAGGATGGTGCGATGTCCTTCTGTTGGATCGTTGGTGCCCCAAGGACTGTTTCTTAGCTTCGTTATGTGGTTTGTAGGGCCACTTACTAGACTTGGTATGTCGCGTCTGCCACGTAGTCGACTACGCCATGGATAGCGGTGGTCTCTGCATCAATGTAGGTCAGTAGCCAGTGCTCGTACATGTCTGTTTCTATCCTCCATGTGAGTGCCAGTGTCCGATCTGGCTTGACGAGGTAGACTAGTTTGGCTTTGGGGTTAGAAAGCACTCCCGCTGCCTGTCTGAAGATGTACTCGTTTTGTCCATTAGCAGCTTCTGCAGAAACATTGTCAATGGTGAGTGGAAGCTGTAAAGCATCTCTTGCTCCCCTTAGAGCAGCCACGGGACTCAGGATGTTAGGATTGTCCAGGTAGCTGCTCGGCAACGCGCCTGTGAAGAATGAATGTCCGAAAGATAAAAGCTGTCCGTCTCTTCCAATCTGTAGCAGTGAGCTTTTCTCTACCAGAGTGAGCGGGGAGCATACATTAACATTAAAGTCCGCATTGTCAATGTCAATATCATGGGTCGTTTGGCGAAAGTATACATGCGCCACGCCATTGTCACCGACATAGTGGTCATCGACGAGACGGAAGCTTGCTCCAGGAACAATGTTTTGAACCAGTCGAGCTGCTGTATTGGTATAGTGTTCATCGGCGGACACTGTTACTGATCGGTTTGCGTTCACATTGATTGAGTTGACATATTCTGCGTTAGAGGTCAAGCGGAGGACGTTCAGATCCACGGATGCTGAAGTTGAGGCCGTAGGATATGCCAGAATGGCCAAAGGCAATGCCCCTATGCTGCATATTAGGCGCAGTCCATGCATGTTGGCTAATGGGTGGGTGGAATGAAAGATGGTTTAGGATTATTGATAGACTAGAACTTGGTTTATATATACTGCCAGTTTGCTCAGCTATAAGAGCAGTCAGTACAGCCACAGCTACCCCTATCCTTCCCATTCCCCATAGAATCCCCTATGAAGGAAAGCTACTGTCCGACGTTGCATGACTGTCCAACAATGGCGATGTACAACCTCTCCCCCTCCGATATCATTGGCCTACCGATGACTGACCCCCCGGGTTGTCTCACAAGCTAGCTTGCAGAGTGGTAAGGGATCCCATAAAAAGATACTCCTTCAACAACAATAGGCAAAACCAGTCTGTATACCACTAACGAAGTGCTGGTAGTATGCATCCTGAGGACGGAAGATCGTCCCGTTGTGAGACGAGACAGACTTCCCAGAATTCGCCGGCACTAGTCAGCCACTTTTATACTAACGGAATCACCAGTCGCCATGCAGACTACCGCCATTGTCTCCCATAGGAGACAGAGAGCTCCGCTGAGGAATCGCTTAGATAGAATTGTACGTTGCAAAGCAGCGGCTTTGGCAAGGAGATGTATCAGGGTCTGCTGAAATCGAAGGGTATTTATTGTTGTTATCTAGTACGCTTGCATGATGGGAACTATATCTTAGCAGATTGCTCCAATTTCCGTGCCCGATCCTTTGCAATATCGCACATTGCCTGTAAAGAGCCCTTTGTCAGCACTGCTCCGTGGTTGGGTGGACAGCCATCTCACCTGTATGATCTCCTCCACTTCGCGATCAGCGTCACCCCGGTCGATCCGCGCCCGCATCTCTTCCATGATAACATCCCTGTTGCGGCCGTTGACAAAAGTACTATGCCACGGAGATACGTCAGACCAACACAAGTCATTGGGTGATTGAGAACATACACAAATCGCAGGCCGGGGAACTTCTCCTCATATTCCGCATTCATACGCTTCAGCTTCTCCGCTTGCTCCTCTGCTCCCGTGTTCAGGTTTGCTTGTTCCTTCTTGCTCAGTTCGCTCAAGTGCTCTGTCGGGGCTCCCTTGGGCTGTCCCAGGCGGGGATGCGATCCCAGAATCCCCACCAGGATATCGCGATCTTTGGACGAGTTGGCAGCGGACAGGGCGGACATGCGACCGCCAACAGCATCAATCAGAGTTGGATAGGATGAGAATGTCTGGTTTGCGAGAACGGGAGCCATGAGGGTGTGCAGCTCCGGCGACGACTCGAACAGGGTATCGAGGACGCGGAATTGCTGCTCCTGCGGGAGTGATGTAATGGACGACGGAGCGGGGAGATCGGAGGACATGATGGTGGGGAGGGGAGGATACTAATTGACAAGGACTATGAGCTAAGGTGATGTTTTCGAATGAAGGGAACTAGATCGATTTCCTTTCTTTCAAGAAAAGCAACGGTGATAGTTGTAGTGGGGGGTAGTTGGATATATGCTGCTTCAATTGAGTCCCCGCATCGGCAGCCTCCGAGCGATGGAAAGGCAGCGGGCCGGAGACCTCCAGATGCGGACAGATTCAACCATCCCCATACCCCCATCACATTGTGGATGAGATCCATCTCAATTGCAACGAGGGATCAGTTATTCACAAACATTTGGACTGAGACTGAAGGTGCACGGACAAGAGCTGTGAAAGCTAGGGCTAGAGCTTGAGCTAGAGCTTGAGCTTCTCATCAGCATCGGTTTAGAACTATTACATTGCAGATTGACAACACGGTCGGACATGCTCAGAATATCCGCAGGGGTTCTAGACCCCTGACCTTCCATAACTGGGAATCTGGGGAGGGGGTAAAGCGATGACAAGAATCGGATTGTCCATCGATAGTGGCCATGTAAGGTAGGATAAAGTTTAAGTGGGCAACCAGATAGACTCCATCCAGGAGAATTTCTCAGCGATAGAGAGATAGTATATTGGGGGTCTGGATAATTAGCAGTGGCCGATCGCATGGCTATCCTGACCGATTTTGAGCCTAGCCGATACGTATTAAGTATTAACACCATACCGTCGTGTATGACCTTGGTATCCTATCGGTAAAGTAAGTAACCGTCGCACGGCCCTGGCAGCGACCAGGAAAGCCACCTGCAGATGAAAAGCGAACCCGCATCATCCCTGCTGCTGCTTCCTCTTCCTCCTCCTCCCGTTCACGCCGGTTGTCGGATGCCGAGAGGAATTGGAACCACGAGCAACATGAGTCGTTCTCTAACAATGGTATTCCGCGACCGTGGAGAGGGGTGTGCACTAGTGCTAACAACTACTAAGTAAGTAAGTCGGTACCTGAGAGTCAGTCAATTGGAAATTGGTTCAACCAATAGTCCCACGGTCGGACTTCCTTCTGCGGCGTCATTATTGGATCCCCATCTGGTGTTGCCTTCAGGGACATAACTTCAGTTCATCAAGTACTAGTAGTAGTCCGCTTGTCAATGGCCTGATTAATGAGAGAGGGTGACTAGAGACAGACACATTAATATAGAGATTAATCTACTTGACTTCCTTTCTTTTTCTTTTCCCTTCCTTTCCATTCTCTCCCTCAGTGATTGAATGAACTTGTTCAAGTTATTTCCACTTCTCAGTGACTTGAAGTGGAGAGAGAAAGGCACCCGGGCCAATCCACTTTTTCCACACCCGTTATTATTAACCAACCAACCAACCATCACTCTCCATCTTCCCCCCCATTTCTGCCCCTGAACGGTCTCAAGCCCGGGCTGAACTCCTGAGAGGTTCGTGGGCACAAACTCACCAACTCGGTCCCCCTCGGCCGTCTTTGCGGATGGATCAGCATTCTTGTTCACAAAAAAGGGAATTAGTTATACATTGTATCTGATTCTCAATCCATCCCCCCGTTTAGTGTGTCCCGCCCGTCTTGATCTCGCTCCACCGCTGGTGTGTGTCTCGCTCTCGCTGCCATCACACTTCGAGGACCGGCGCACTGCTTTTGCTTTGCTTTGCTTCCTTACATCCTGATCCTTTCCGCTAGACCCTCCCTTTCCCCTCTTTTTTCTCCTCTCGCCCCTCCTCTTTCTTCTTTTCCCCTCCCCCCATCGTCCATCATCATCATCATCACTTGAATCGTGATCTGTGACGGTCCTGGGCATCTGCCTCCAATGCAGTTCCCGTCATGTCGCTCAATGGGCTAGATAATCCCACCGTCATCGATGCCTACCAGACCGCGCTCACCGAGGCCGGTGGATGGTAAGTACTTAGTCCGTGTGTCTCGGCTATACCCTGCAGCACCCTTCGGGTCCTCCGTTGCAAGGGTGGCCATTGCAACCCAATCGCATCGACTGTCGCTAATGCGCATGGCTTGCGTCTCTTCTAGGTTTCTCCTCCGGTATGTATCAAGGGATGAAGTCGATCTCCTTGATCGCGGCACCGGCGGGGTGCCCGACGTGCGCAACGCGATCGACAGCTACGAGGAGAAGTCTCCGCTCTACGGCTTCCTACAATATCGGCGACGGAAAGTGGTCCTCAGCTATCTGCCAGAGGGCATGTCCCGTCTCGTTCAGGGTTCGTCCAGATATACTGTCCCATCCTGACAATCCTGCATCCACTGACCTCGTCATCTCCCTGCAGCCCGAACGACGGTTCAATTCCAATCGATTCTAGACAAGTTCTCCCCGCATGATACGGTATTCTCGGTGACGCAGCCATCGGAACTTACAGAAAGCGCATTGTCCTCCGCATGCTTACTGCATACGGCTTCCGGTTCGATCACTTCCTCTTCCAGCTCCCTCCGTCGTCGCCGATTGAAAGAGATCGCGGAAGATGCCGAAGAGGCTACCGTAGGCAAGGACGAGAACCAGGCGCAGTCCGCGGCCGATGGAATGCCGCGGCAGAGATCGTTCAGTCAGCTGTCCGAAGCCACGGTGGTTCCCCCGTCAGTGGTGTCGAGTATCCAGCAATCACCAGTCGGCAATGATTCAACCCCGAAAACTTCCGAAAACGCCTCCATTCGAGAGCGGTCCTCGTCCGTGGCCACGTCGGAGCGGGCTCCTTCCTATAAGAGCTTTCGAGAAGACGCATCCTATGCTCCGTCGGAGCCCCGCCAATCTTCGCAGTCCGCCAGGCCGTCCGTACGTGACCTGGAGCGTGCCGGATACAAAGCTAAGGTCAAGCTGGGCCCCCGCCCTTCAGTAGATGGCAGCGGACGCCCTCGCACGGCAGGCAACCTCTCTCGGAGCGCTGAGCGGCGGCCGGTGGCATCCTTGCCTGCGGGCGTTCGATCATCGTCCCTGCGCAAGTCCAATCCTAGTCCTTCGCGACCTCGATCTTCTGGAGGCAACGGGACCCCCGTCGCCAGCAAAGTGCCGGCGGTGCCTCCGTTACTGGTGCCTCCCTTTTCCATGCCCATCTCGCGGCCCAAAATATCGCCCGGTGCCAAGTCACTGAGCGCGCTGTCTTCCTCCACCACGTCCAACGAGAAAGAGCGGTTGATGAAGGCGCTTCAGATGCGGAAAACGCAAATGGAGAAAAAAGCAAAGGAAGGGAAGAACAGTTCTGCGACAGATAAGGGAGAGACGTCCGGGCTGGATATGACCGAAAATAAGGAGAACATCGGTCATATACCAAGTAAAATGAAGCACGACGGGGGCGATGACCGAATGGCCCACTTGGCAGGGCCGAACAAGGAGCCCCTTTCCGAAACTCAGCCAAGCCTGCAGCCCACGCTCCGTCATCAGGGGGCTGAAGAAGAAGACGGCCGTACTACTCCTAAATCCCCTGAGCCCTCGGGCGACCACCTCTCCCTTAGCCAACCGGCACACCTGAGCGACAGCAGTAATGAGTTTCAGGCGACAACACCCACTCGTTCGGGATCTGAAACGCAGGAGGGCGACAGGGACTTGGACGCATCCAATTCCGGAGGCGTCTCGGGTGGCCCCAGCTCCCCGACTAGGCTGCCTAGCGCCATCGCCGCTCCACTCGAGAACAATTCTGGAAAGGCTCCGGACGAAGAGATTGTTGGCCCCTCGCCACCAAAACCAGTCCCCCATCCTGTTGTTCCTGGCGAACAAGAGGTCCTCCCTCACCACCACCACCACCAACCCAGCACGCCAGACGTGACTGAGTCCGATCTATTCGAGTCGCCTGCTCGGCCCGATTCCCCCCACCATCTTCCAGCGGTCACCTTCACCCCCAAGTCCTTGTCGATCGCCGCTCCCCCTCCGACGGAGCCGCAGCATGACTTGACCCCTGAATCCTCGAATGTGGAGCGACAGCACAGCACGTCTCGAAAGGAGAAACGTAAACCCTACCTCGAACCTATTCAAGTCCCAACTCCCGACTACTCGGATGACGAGAACCTTCTTTCAGACGACTCCTTCATGGAAGAATTGACCAGTGCCACGGTTGAGGAGGCCAAGCCCATCTCCGTGGGCGTGTCACCACTCTCCCCAGGCTACTCCAACAGCAGCAACGGCAACGTCTCGCCTGATGCGTGGAGGAATTCGCGTGCCGTTTCAAACCCCAGTGCCATTGGACACCAGTCCCCCAACATGTCGACCGTAGCCATGGGCCGCTCCGTCTCGACGACGGGTGCCGACTCTGGTTCCCAGAACGGGCCGGTCCTGGTGGCAAGGAAGATCAATGTGTCGTCGGGCATCTCCAGCCGCATCAAGGCATTGGAGAAGTTCTCCAGCAGTCGCGACGCCCCTTCGACGAACGGCCAAACCCTCGCCGCTCCCTCCGCTGCCTCCTTCGAGACTCTTCGCAAAGGTTACTCGGGACCTTCGATGCCCCGACCCCTCTCATACGCCCCTGAATCCTTCTCGCGCTCAGCAAGTGTGAGACGACCTAGCTCACAGGCGGGCCCTGGCCTCGCTGGTCCTGGCCTCTCGCGCTCTCCTAGCTCGGTCTCTGTGACCGCTCGCATTGTTCGCGATCCCACCGCTGCTGAAACCAACCCGAACGCCGACCCATCCGAGCCGGTCGCCCTTAATCTACAACCCAGCCAGATTACTGTCGAACAGGAAACTACACAGCTCCCTGTGTTGAGTCTGCAAACAGAACCTACCATCACTCCGTCGGAAGATGACACCTTGCCCCCGTCCTCTGCTGGATCCGACCAGCAATCCTCCGTGTCCATGCAGCGTCCGGAGAGCCGAATCTCTACCCCTACATCCATCAAAGAAGAAGAGGTAGCATCACCCGCCAAGTCGTCTGGTGATGCGCCCTCCTCCCCTGATGAGAAGAAAGAATCCCGTGCGACGCGACTCCTGCGCCGCATGTCCTCTATCACTTCGCGTAAGAGCGTTGCTGGTGTGTTGAACCCTATCAAGGGAGATGACCATGTGGTCCCCATCAAGCTTGAGGAACCCGAGAGGCCAGTCTCGAGGGCGACGGAGGTGGCTCCGGCGATCGATATTGGCGAGGTCAATGTGCAGTTTCCTGACACTCTCCTGTGGAAGCGTCGCTTTGTCCGAATTGATGACCAGGGATATCTGATCCTGACGCCTGGCAATTTGGATTCGACCAACCGCAACCTGGTCAAGCGGTATCATATGTCCGAGTTCCGCACTCCTTGCCTGCCGGATGAAGACCGCCAGGAGCTGCCCAACAGCATCCTGCTGGATTTCCTGGACGGCAACACTCTTCAGTGCGCCTGCGAGTCGAGACAGGGGCAAACCTTCGTGCTTCAGAGTAAGTCGCCCGCCTTGATACGTTTAATAGATGGTAACTAACACAATGTAGCGCTGCTCGACGCTCACAACACCTACCAGACCGTCTCTCATTAGCCTTGATCTCCTGCATAGAGCTTGTGCCTTTCCTTCTCCTTGACCTGCATATATTGCGCATTCCTTCCTCCTTTCCTTCCTCATCCGGTGTTTTCAGCGGTATACCCCTCAAAACGGTTTCCTTCTACCCACTGTTTTGTACCCATCACATTCTACTCTTCTATTCCTTTTTGTTGGACTTGTTGGTGAGACAGGATGTTCTGTCGGCTTGCTCTGTAGGATGTGGGTCTTGGTTTCTTCGTGTCGACATTAGCAGCATTGGCGGTTGGTTCTTTAATAGCGTGGCGTGGTTGTCCAGACATCTAGATTGTTCTACTGTCAGCAGTGCGGTCCCGTTACGTCTTGGATTGTAGCCTTAGACTGTTGGTTGACTGGCTAGCTCCTGCTTGAGCAAAGTCGGAAGACTGTTCCCGACATGTTGGCAAACATCTACTCATCCTTCAACATCCAAGAATACATGCGAACATTTATTAAATTTCCCAACGCCGGCCTAGTAGCTACAAACTAATTCTATTTCGGGGAACGCGGGGACGACGGCCGAGCCAGTCGCTTCTCCTCCCAGTCCTCAAGGAACTGTTGGACCTTGGGGCCCCAGACCTCCTCGCCGGCCTCGAGGTCCTTGTACTCGAGCACCTTGTCCGGGTGAAGCTCGAACTGGGCCTGACGGGACCGGATGAGCGAGCTCATCAGACCGCAGCTTCCGACCGCCTTGCCCAGGTCGTGCGCCAACGAGCGCACATAGAAACCAGACGACACCGTCATGGTGATCTTCACCGCAGCCGGCTGAGGCTGCGACTGGGGCTTGGGCTCGGAGGCTTCCTCCTTAGCTTCCTCCTTGGTAGCCTCCGCAGACTCCTGCTCGGCCGGCGCAACAGGCGCAGCCTCACCCTCAGCAACCTTCTGCTTCTTGGCCGAGGGAGCAGACTCAGCATCATCACCCTCAACCTTCTCCTGAGCATCCTCCGCAGGCGGGGACTTTCTCTTCGCAGAGGCCTCTCCTTCACCCTCACCGTCCTTCTCCACAACGGGCAACTCATCCTCCTTCGCCAACAACTTCTCCGCGACAGCCTTCTCCTCGCCCTCCGCCTCAGCTTCAGGCCACTTAAACTCATGCGTCCCAGGCTCATACCACTCCAGGATCCTCAAATCCGTGACCTCAACCGGTCTCTTCTGGATCTCAATCGGCGGCTCCTTGCCTTCGCGCGCATACTCATAAAGCTTCTTTCCATTGACCCTGAGCGCCGAGAAAATCGGCGGCCGTTGCATGATCTTCCCACGGAACTGCTCCAATGCCTTCTCCACCATCTCCCTCGTCACATGCTCGTAGGGCGCCTTGCGCACCACCTTTCCCAGTCGATCATAGGTATCTGTCTCGGCACCGAACAGCACAACGGTCTCGTATTGCTTCGTGCATCCCAGGAACTCATTCAGATGTTTCGTGCCCTTGCCGACGCCCGCGACGAGAACGCCGGTCGCCAGGGGGTCGAGGGTGCCTCCATGGCCGATCTTAACGTCGAGACGCTGCGTGCGACGACGCTTGCGCTGGAAGTTGCTTTCGCGGGCGCGACGGGCGCGCTCGTCGGCGAGCCAGGGAGCGAAGAGCTTGGAGGGGTTGAAGTGCGTTTGGAGGGTGCGGACGACGTCGGCGGAGGAGACGCCTTGGGGTTTGTGGACGGCTGTTCATTACCCATTGTTAGTTGAATGCCGGGGTAGATAGGATAATTAGGATAGTGATTACCGAATACGCCTTCGTAGATCTTTTCACCGGACATGGTGCGACGGAAGGGTCTGAGGGCTTGACGGAAGCTCATCGGCGAGCGATGAGGGTCGGAAGGTGGGTGAGGTTATTTGAGAGCACAATTGATTGATCGACTAGCACAGCTCAGTGATACGATTGTACGCAAATATATATAAATAGCCCAATAAAACTGAGGAAAATAGAGGTGCAGCGAATACTACACCAAAAGTAGTAAGTAGTTAGAGTAGCAGTGAAGTCCAACCAAAATATATTTTCAGCTCCGCAAAGTTACAAACCTACCCGCAATGCAAGTTTCCCATTACGGGACCGAGTCTAGTCCAGTCTAGGCATGAAAGAATTCCCGCTGGTAGTACGTAGTAAATTACCACACCAAATTGCAGTAATTACCCGGTAAGCTTGCCCACCTCCGCACCTAATCACGGCACAAGCAGTGGTGTAATTGTCTGGTAATTACCGGACTGTCCTCCGGCTGGCAGCGCAACAGCAGCATCATCGCTGTGACTGCAGTCAGTCAGCTTCACCCACCCCTCCCTCTACTACTACTATCCCTCACTTCAGTTACTCCTCACTCACTCATTCATTCAATCATTCCGTCACTTTACTACCTACCAACTACCTTACCCATTGCTTTTCTTGTATTTATTTAACCCCTCTCCAAACCGAGAGAAATCACTTAACAAAAGCCCCCTCCGAGCATCGAAAGCAACATGCAGTCCCCACCATGACCTCCCGCGAAGATAGTGTCCTGGCCGCCAGAGACCCCTCCCTCACCGACGAAAACGACTGGGAAGAGTTCAGCCTGTCGGAAGTTCGAGTCCTGGTTCCGGGCAAATCCCGCTATGCGAATCTGTTGACTGCCTCGCCGGAGAATCCGGTCCAGGTGACGGGGTGTTTGGATGAGGTGGAGGAGGAGCAGGAGAAGCTAGGTAATAAATCCCCTCACTTTCTTATTTCCCTCTATCTTTATTGTCTGATAGGAATGGAGGGGGGTGCGGTGCTAACTGAATACTGGCTAGTGCTCGACCCAGAATACTTGACGAAACGCATCGTCCTCGAAAACGTCACCCACTTCGCCTACGGACAACATAATGATGGGGAGGTTGGGTTCTGGGTGGCTGGGAAGGCGGGCTGGTTCTCGATATCTCCGGCGAAGGGGTACAAAGCCATCTTTAATGATGTGGTGGAGGCGATTGATCTGTTGTATTTCCTGGCGGATCGCCATCAGTCGAAAAGGAGGAGGAAGAGGAGGAATTGGAATCCGAGTGTAGAGTATTTGTGTGAGGAGGTATGTTCCCATTTGTTTCTTCTGTTCTTTGGTGGATGTTGTTTGCTAATGTTTTGGTTGGGTCGGGGTAGTATGTGAGCCATACGCATGGGATTTGCGAGGATGCGGATGACTCTGCAGAGGTGTTTTATAAACACCATGACTTTCTGCTGTCCAGGATGTTGAAGGGTGAGGAGGATGTGCAGTGGACCACTACGTGCATTTTTGAACATCTTTGCGAGAAGTTTCCGGTATGTCGTCTGTTCTTTCTTAAGGGAGAGGTGGGAATGTGCTAATTGTGTAGGATGATTATGAGCAGATTAAAGCACAGTACGAAGGGGCGAAGGAGGTCGAGTCGGAGGAAGAGGAGGAAGATGAACAAGAGGAAGACAAGGAAGAGGACGAGAATGAGGACCAAGATGAGGCGGAAGCACAACCAGATACATCTGGACTATCGAAAGACCAGGCAGATGCTATTTACAAGGTCATTCTCGACCTCAAAGAAGCAGGATACCTGGCTAAGCGTCAATTGACCTTCGAACTGCTCATCAACACCCTCGTCGAACGCTTCGCAATCGACAGTACCGAATACGCACACGACCTTGTCGGTGCACGGGCCGAAGCTATCATAGAAATGATGGACGAGGCGAAAACATACAACTTTGACTGGTCCCGCAAGGTTATTTACCGCGAGCTCAAAGCCGCGGCCAAGAAAAACAGAGTCCAGCAAATCACTCTCACCCCGCTGCGGCCTCGTCCGACCGATGACGATGAATCGTCCGGAGAAGAAAGTGAGCATGAAGACCATCCCCGACTGCGAAGACGTAGGGTCCACAAGTCGGTCTTGCGACCGAAGAGCTCTGTTGCCACGAAGCAGACCGGAAAACGAACACGAAGTGCAGTTGATGACCAAGATGACGACTCGGACAACGACAACGATGCAATGGACGAATTCGAGACTCCAAGCAAAGTCCGCGGACATGATCTTGTTCGCGACCCGTTGTCGACCCGCGCGAAGCGCAGGACGCGGTCGCTTCTGTACGATGCAACCCCCATCCAAAAAACGCCATTGCAAGAGACGCTTCAGAGCCGGAACACGTCTGTTTCCGGGGCTGACCGTGAGACAAATGCGGATGCATCAGATTTGGAAGCCACCCTTGAAGATGATATAACATCCGATACCTGGACATGTCACGTTCGAGGCTGCGAAAAGGTCATCCACAAAAGCAATTCGAAACGTGGCAAGGAGCTGATCCAGGATCATGCCCTGGCTCATGCGGATGATACTAAAGCAAAGATCGATCTTGTCTTTGCTGAACAGAGACTCAACATTGGGCTTCCTGTCGACAACCTCCTCAGTCGTATCAGAGAGCTGGGCGCATTTGATACCGAGCATCCGGTGGATGGCGCCTTCACTAATGGAGTGAAGACATAATCAGGCATACAATGAGATGCAACAAATAGATACAATTTCTGTGCAGACAGATGATGTGCGTGTGCAGTCTACCAGGTATGTTGCTCACTATCTCTGCATTCGTAGTCATACTTACCTTTCTTTAGTTGCGTAGCTCGCAGCACTTACGGAGTCAGGTTAGCGGCGTTGAGTGGCATGATACATGGCGGGTGGGATTCTGCTTCTTGAGACATGATGTGATACCAGAGATACCAGCATAATGAAGTCCCCTACTCAGGTTCAGCTAGATAGACAGTCACCATTCCATGATTATCAATATACAAATCAAACTGTCTATGGAAACACTGCTTTTATAACCCGACCGGTATCCGACAAGCTAACAATAAAACAAACCATAAAGAAATGTACAGCGAATGGAATCAAGAACGGCCCTTAGCAGCAGCCCTCCTGCTCTTGCCAGGCCTCTTCGCACCACCGCCCTTAGGACCACCCTTCATCTTCTTAACCGAGAAGTCACGCATATCACCACTCGAAACAGCATCACCACTCTTCGCGAAGCGCTTCTTACCACCGAATCCGAACTTCTCATTCTTCTTCTGACGCTTCATCGACGGACCACCCTCAGCATCACGACCACGCTTGCGACCACCACCAGCCTGAGCCGCATCATCAATAGCGACATCGAACATGTTCGACGAATCATCCGTAGGACCGCCAGTCTCAGCCTTGCGCTCTGCACGAAACAGTTAGCCACACAAATCAACCAACCCCAAAAGGGTATGGAAATAGAAAGAACGTACTCTTCTTCAACGCATTAATCTTCTCCAACGTCTCCCTCTTCTCCTTCGCCCTCTGCTGCAACTTCGCAACCTGCACCTGTTTACCAAACTTCTTCAAATCGCGCTGCTTCCTAGCCTCAGCCGCAGCCTTCTTCGCCGCCGCCTCATCATACAACTTCTTCTTAATCTTGCCCATGTGCTCATCCGTCTTCACCATCTCGGCAAAGTAATCGCCCGGTCGCGTGAACGGCACGCCTTCTTTCTTGAGCGTGCTCCGCGCCGTCATCGCCGCCGCTTGGCATACCTTGTAGAACGCCAGTTCGCGGTTCAGGTCGTCGTTGGCGTCGGGCACTTCAATGGGTTCCTGAGATACGAGACTGTTGTGCTCGGAGAAGGGCGTCGCGGGAGTGAGGAAGGAAATGCGTTTCAGACTGCTGGTGATGGCGGCACTGTTGTTGATTGTGAGGCGCTGGTGCGTGACGACGTCTTCGCGCTCGTCGTCCTCAAGGTCGCTGAGGGGGATGTCGGATTCTTCTTCTTCTTCGTCTTCCTCTTCTTCTTCTTCCTCATCTTCGGAGGGTTCTTCGGCGTCGGGGATTTCTTCCTCTTCGGACTCCTCCTCCTCTTCCTCCTCCTTCTTCTTCTTCTCTTCAACAACCGATTCCTTCACATCGTCACCCTTGGTAGAAGTGTTCTTCTTCTTCGCCGCCTTAACAAGCTTCTTCTGCTTCTCGGCCTCGTAGTCGCGACCGCGGTGCTCGTCCAGAGCCTGAAGGAGCTTGCTGCGCTTAGGCATGTTGGTTTATGGTATGTGGTGTGTGGGTGGGATTGGGGTGTTGTTGGTATGGTGCAAAGCTGCCGGCTGGAACTTTGCTTGCTGCAAATCAATGGGAATATTTTTTTGGGGAGATTTGGTAGCGCTAAGGATGGATTGGGTTTAGTGTTGTGGGGCTAGGGAGGAAGGTTGTTCCGTTATCGTGGATGGGTTATCGATAAGGGAGGGTGTGGTGATAAGGGGATGGATGGATTGTTATGGAGAAGAGGAGTTGGTTATGATTGATGATTGCACAGTTCATGATTGGGACTTGAGTTGACTGTGATTGGTATTGTAATTATGACGATAATGTGGAATGTGTTTGAGATTGGGATTAGTATTCAACCTAGGTATGTCAGCCTCATCCATGATACAAGAGACTGGTTACCCAACTATATATATCTGGGATAGGGCAATCCGCTCTGCTCTTTGTTCATGCTCACCATTTCTACTTTACTTTGACAGCGCAGGCCCTAGGAAATGGCCATTCATAAACCCTTCAAGTCAGTCCTGGCCCTTTTTGATTCCGGCAGAGGTGTCACTACTCGGTGCACTTGAACAGCGCCAGTCCACAGGCATCAAGTATGGCACGTTCATGAACTTCCTGCTAGTCTAACTTGATCAGCAATAAGCTCAACTGACTCCACCGACCTGCTAGTGTCAGTCACCAGTTCCCAGTGCTAGTGCTAGACCTATATTGATGGGATATGTATATTTTGGATTACACTGGTGGTTTTGTGATCCTCTCCATTTGAAGCTTTAATCATCATACTGTTCATATTTCATGAGCCTTCCTCCGGATTTTGTGTTACTTTATCAGAAGAAACTCAAGAAATATAAATACTTAGACTTTTCCAAAGATGATGGTACCTCCTTCCTTTCTTGATGCTGGTGTGGTGGTAGTATCCCCATTCAGATGTCCTCAAATATGCACACATTCGGAATACTCAAACAAGTACATCAAAGGCTGTGCGTCAAAAAGACAAAGATAGCTACTCTTAGAGAAAATGTTCTCCAATAAATGGTTAGTGTGTCGAGGGTGCAGCATTAGCGCCGCACCATCAAATTTGGCGCACTCCGCACTTATTGACCCGAACGCAGCTCGTAAGAATACCTAATGACTACCCAAGCTACCGGGAATATCTGAGACTATTATACACTAGCACGACTGCTACCCCATCTCGAGCCTGTTACTTCCCAAGATGCCGTTATCATACAACAAGTTAGACCCCAGTGCCAAACAGATCCGTCTTTTGACTATCTTTCCCGATGAGAATGACGAGAACCCCGTTCGAGCATCGCTTCATACCGTATCCCTCAACGATACCTGCGACTTCGAAGCCCTGTCTTACGTATGGGGCGACACTTCTGTGACCGTTGACATCTCGGTTGATGACTGTATAGTCGGTGTAACACCGAATCTGCATGCTTTCCTGCGAGGACTTCGCCAGCCTGATACAGAACGCACTGTGTGGGTTGATTATGTCTGCATCAATCAAGGCGATATCTCAGAGCGGAACTCGCAGGTCGTATTGATGTATCAAATCTATTCAACTGCCAGGTCGGTGGTTGCTTGGCTGGGAGATCTGGAGCCGGTAGCACTGAAGCTCGTCGAGTGGTTTCATGCCAACGAAGATGGGCTTTACATCGCAAGCACCGGCCTTGGTCCTTTGGAGTCTATACTGGTGCTCTGTGTAGCTGCTAAGGCACTGTGTGCCGCGCAGTATTGGCATCGGCTATGGACATTCCAAGAGTGGCATCTCTCAAGAAATGCCGTTGTATGCATGCATGAAAAGACGACTTTTACCATAGGGAATATCTTCAAGCAATTATACCAGGAGATCTTCGTTGCCAGGATTTTTATTGCTTCAATGTTAGGGGAAGCATCATCGGAAGCAAATACATACGTATACCAGGAGATCTTCGTTGCCAGGATTTTTATTGCTTCAATGTTAGGGGAAACATCATCGGTAGCAAATACATACGAGACGGAAAATCTTTACAAGAACATTCTCCTCCTCCGTGCAATGCAACAAGACCTCGACAGCCTCTTGAATAAGATCCCTCGGGATATTCTGCGCCTCAACCCAGGTACCCCGTGTCCATCTGGACTTGGAGACTTGCTATTGCTTACGGTTGACCGGCTTTGCAGTAATCGACTGGACAATGTATATGCGTTATATGGGCTTTCTCCCTCGGCTAGGGAAACATACCCTCCTGACTATCGAAAGACCATCAGTCAGGTCAGTCATGAAACAACGTCCTTTGTCTTGGGACACGAAGCCAATATGAGTATATTCAATGGCTTTGATTTTTCTTTCAACTCTTTTAACCAGGACGACTCACTCCCTTCATGGGTTGTGGACTTCACCACGAAGGATCCGGAGCATCGAGCAAAGATGCAACAAAGCTTCTCCAAATCATTATATTTGAATAACGCTCCCTGGAAGCCAATTCAAGATCTTGCGCCTATAATCACAGATGATATGCAGACTCTCAAGCTCTGGTGTCAGAAAATAGGAGTTGCCTCTCCTCCAAAGTTGTTCGACTCACCTGCCTTGCACTGTGTAGGGCAGGTACAGGTGCTTGCGGAAAACGCCACAAGTCCCGATGATATATTAAAAGCTACTTATTACTACACTGATTGCTCCGATTTTTTTATGCTTGATACGTTCTTCGAAATCATGAAAATATCTATCTATGAATCTATCTATGAGCATGATGAGTTTTGGGAGGCAATGAGAGGTTCTCTTCCAGGGCTTTGCTTCTCTTTTCGCAAACTTATAGGACAGCGATATTTCACCATAGCCACCTCAACTGGCAGCAGTATAGGTCTCACGGATTGTGGGCTTGAAGAGGGTGATTATATTGTCATCCCCTGTGGAATTGCTCAAGTGTTTGTTCTTCGTCCCATCCCAGACGAGCTGCTTGTGGATGGTGAAAAGGTTCAGTGTTTCAAGGTCATAGGGCGGGCTTACGTCGAGGGAATATCAAATCGAGGGGAAACTGATCCGGATCCTCTTTGTTCCGAGATGGAGAAGACACCTCCTACACAGTTTTGTCTTCGATAAATTATGGTAAACAGGCTAGGCAGGGACACGTCTCACTGTTGCATGGTCTACACCCCTATGTAGGCGTGTACACAATAAAGACTGCAAGTTTGCTTTCTTTGAGAATTATAATATAGAGATACTGCCATGAGACTACCATGAAAGGAAATGTATGCTAGTCTTGAATCAAGAATAGGCTACGCCTATCATTGATTCGATAGGACTATACGCGTATATAGCTTTTTAGGATATACAAACTGATTACCACATGACAATGTCTACTATCCAATATAGTAATAACTCTAGATTCTCTTGCAATCGCCTCCGGAGTAATTTGTGCTTACATTGGCAGATTTGATGGATAAGGGAGGAATGGGATTAGTGTTAGGCATGATGCTAGGACTTGAGAGGGATGAGGAGAGGGTTAGTTGATGGGGGAGTTGAGTTGGTGTCTAGATAAATTGAAAAACGTCATACCACTATCTTCTTGAAATTCAATACCTTTGTTTCTTAGTGATCTTTTCTGCGCAAGGCAAATGTCTAATGAGACTACACATTACTCCAATCAGTCCATTAGCTATCATGCTGCTTCATCCCCTCGCACAGCCACAAGAAGGTTGCCACTAGACGCGAAATTCAATATCCCTTGCTAGCGTCGTCTTCCAGATACAGTCTACGACAACGGGGATGCCGGTTGAGTCAACAGATCAAGCAAAAGATAAATCGTTCTGAGGAAGCATACCAGAAGACCCTGTTGGGGACAAACTCACCCATTGCAACGAGTCCAAAGTAGTACACTACCACAACCACCTTACACAGGACATAACCAACAAGACATAATCACACTACAGAAAAAAGGTCTGCTGTACCTTACTGACGGCGGCAATGAAAAGTGATTTAACACTGCATAGTATGGAGTATATCGTCCCTTAATGCACCATATTCTTCTCAGATCATCCTATAGATGGTGGACGGTTTATCAGAACACTAAAATCCTGACTGCAAGGGGATACCATACATACACTGTTCTGTCCAGACGGTGTCTCCGTCTCTTATGCAGGACAGCTAATTTTGTTCAACCTCTGTCATTCCCTACAGATGCCATGGCCTTATGTGGTAGGCGGACGGAAGAACCGAGAAAATCAGGCTCTGCAAGGGGGCAAGATTTGACATGTTGTGACACTGGAACCATGAGCCTGAGAGTGTAGAGTATCAAACTCAATGATGCACGTGCAGGATGGTGACGGAAGGGCCTATCTACAGGATACCGCATAGGGCTGCATCATGCGGGTTTTGTCACATTTGGTAAATGGCATTTATACTTCGGTGATTCCGAGCTCGGAGACAACCGTGTAGTAACCTTTAGCAGGTATTGATGATGGATGCATTGTAGAGATTTCAGTATATTCAACTGTTCCAATGCAGGGATGATGATATGCAAAATCTACCGCCGGTACCAACATATATAGCCCTAAGGTCATCACACTGCCCATAGCCATCCAAGTCCAATCTACACTATTATCTACCTCACAATGAGAAACAATCAATCATCATCACAATGAAACCCACACACACAAACAACCCCCTCCGAATCCCACTCCACCACCTCCCCACCCTAATCTGGCACTTCACCGAAAGCAACGTCCCAACCTTCATTCTCCCCAACTCCGCCTTCGGCTTCCTGGGCGCCTTCTCCGGCCCAGCCCTGACCACCTCCCCCACCACCCCCTAATAATCCTCTTCAACTGGGCCCTAGTCTTCATCTTCGACCTCGCCAACCAACGCCTCCCCGAATCCATCCACGAAGACCACCTCAACTAAACCCTGGCGCCCCCTCCCAACAAACCGCCTAACAGCCGAACCAAACCCGCCGTCTCCTCCTCATCACCATCCCCATCGTTCTAGGTATCACCTACACGCTAGGCGTACGGCAAGAAGCCTGCCTCATCTTGATCCTCACCTGGATGTATAATGACCTGAAGGGGTGTGATGAACTCATCCGTGATGGGATCATCGCTGTTGCTTATGGGTTGTATAATATTGCTTCGTTGAATATTGCATGTATTGAGGGAGCGGGACCCTCCGAGCAGGGATATTTCTGGACCATCGTGATCAGCGGCGTGATACTCACGACGATGCAGATTCAGGATCTGAAGGATGTGGCGGGGGATAGAACCCGCGGGAGACAGACAGTTCCGCTGGCGTTCGGGGAGTGGTGGTCCAGGTTGTCTATTGCGGGGTTTGTTGTCGGGTGGAGTGTTATCTGTGTGTGGTTTTGGGGGTTGGAGGGGTGGACGTGGTATGTGGTTGTTGGGGGCGTAGGGGGGTTGGTTGTGGGGAGGGTGTTGATTGGGAGGACGGTGGAGGGGGATGCGGCCGCGTGGAGTTTGTGGTGTGTGTGGTTGATGGTGTTGTATGGGTTGCCTTGTTTGGGGGGACGGAGTGGAGGGGTTTTGGTGTAGAGACTTTGCTAGATGGGGTTGAGGTAGGGAGGGATGGGGATTGGGTTGGAGGGTTACTGGGCTTGTATGCTGTGGTAGATATTTGCAGATTATTTTTCATTAGCAGTCATTGGATGATGTACGAGTCTATGGATTGTTAGAAAATCTTAAGTGTTTTTCGGACAGGGGAATAACCCAATGCAGTGTTTGTGATGGGCAGAATTAGAACAAATAGAGTTAGAGAGTACCAGTAATACAATCCGCAGAATAGTCTGGGTGAGTCTAACATTAATAGCATGGGTGGACGGACCAATGGTATCTGGATCAGGAACAGGGATGTCCCTGAGAACTGCTTACCTGTAAGCACTAGTAGCTTCTTTGTTCACTACCTATAGCCATGAGATGATAGAATAGATGAACTCGATTGTATACTATCATCTACTGCTACCCTATAACAACAGCATCCAACTGCATCCGCTTTCCCAACTCACGCTCAATAACTCTCTAATACGTATACTTAAACCCAGCCAAACCCTCAATCGGCTTCCCCCCACGATCAACCCGCTTATTCGCCCGCCAGAACTTGAAGCTGAGTCCCACCACTACCAGAATAATCAGCGCGTTAGCGATCATTGTGGTCAGCAGCCCGGGTCGGTAATTCGGGGCATCTTGGGCCCTGAAGACTGTTGTCCCGATGATTCCTCCGATACTGCCCCCGCCGATGAGGGTGGCGGATGTGAAGGCGCGTTTCCATTGGCCGCGGACGTTGTTACTAGTTCGCTGCATTAGCCCTGAGATATAAGGTAGAGAGGGTAGCAATTATGGGGAGGGGCTTACCTCTGCCATGAGACTAACGCTGGGCAGTTCGCGTTCGCTATCCATCCATCAGCATGACGATTATACTATGAAGTGAAGGATACTCACCAGCAATAGTCGCTAGAAAAACACCAAAATACCGTGGCCCTGACTCCTTGAGATACCCCAACAGCGCGAGCCCCAGCAGTCCCATAGCAGCATTCGCAGCAATGATCGGCCCTCTCAGGTGCCATTTATCGGCATAAACCGCCTGGGTATACATCACTATCGCCGCTGCCACATACGGCGGAGCCACCAGACACTGGGCCTTTGCTACAGAGAACCCCATACTATCTTCCAGAATGATGGGAAGGAAGTAGGCGATCGAGTAGCTGTTCGCTGTGGTGAGCATATACATGGCAGCGTATGCCCAGACCTTGCTATCTGCGCCACTGCGGAGATAACTTTTCAATGTGAATGGCTCCATGTAGACGTCTGATCTGTCATTCTCAATGGTAGCTACCACGTAGGCGGCCTCCGATTCGTTGAGGAAGTGCCATGACTTGGGAGATTGTTCGGGGAAGTCGACGAGGATGGCGTAGGAGCCGATGCCCATTACGCAGGTTAGGATACCTTCGATCTGTGGTGGTCTGCATTAGTGTATGTCTGTAGGGTGTGTGGGGTACGGGGTAGTACAATGAAGATCCATCTCCACCCGGACTTGCCGCCGAGTCCATCCATCTGCATCAGTCCATATGCGAGAATACCGCCGAATCCGGATGCCGTGCTGCCAATCAGGTAGAAGAGGGCATTCCGCTTCTGTAGTTCGAAGCGAGGGTACCAGGTACTAAGGAGGTAAACGCAGCCTGGGTAGAAACCGGCTTCCAGGGCACCAAGGATAACCCGCAGTCCAGCCAGCACTGGCCATGTTGGCGAGAGGCCAAAGCCCTAGTTGTAATCAGTCAACGCCTCCGCTACCACCTCTAAACAGCATAACACCCCATAATTCTAGAACTTACAATCATCACGATTCCCCACATCAAAACAATAGCAGAAAGAAACAGCCTCGGTCCAAGTTTCCGAATAATTACCGTCATGGGGGGCTGAAACACGGTATAGGTAATAAAGAAGACCAACGAGCTAATACTGTAGCCATTATTCTTGGCATTCATCTTCAATTCTTCCTGCATCCTATCAGTACACAAAATTGAGTTAGCTTAATCTCTTGGCCAAGCCATGGCCTTGAAGCGGGGTTGAAAGAAGACTGGAAAGCCCATACCCGGCAACCGAGGCAGCCCCCAAGTTGGTTCTATCCAGCAAACTGATGCAATATAGACAACCCAGTGGAATTACCAGACGAATGTCAATTCGTCTCGTGAGTCTTTTCTTCTCCTTCGGAGTGAAGTAGTCGAGGGATTCTCCGGGTTGGATGCTGTTCTTCTCGGCATCTTCAATGTGAGATGCCTCTAAAGACTTTTCCGTTTCCATTGCTGCGGGTACGGGGGATTCTTCTTTCATGCTTGGAGGCCTAGTGATGGAAGATTGTGATGCATTCTTTGACTGCAGTAATGGGATGGCATTATATAGCTGTCAAAGGGATAGGCATAGACGAAAGTTTCCCCGCATGATGACCCCGCAGATCTATTACCCCGGATTTCGCCATCCCAGGCCAAGGGTAAATATGACTCGAGGAGAGAGAATTGAGTTGTGGGTAACGATAGGACACGTCACGAGTCCCGCAGCTGTGCGGTAGATGCAAAGTCCACAGCAGGTCACTTTGTACTTGGCACCGAGGGACAAGAGAATCAGTGGAAGGTATCGTTTGGGCCCTGTTCCGTGTGGCGAAGGACTCGTATAATACGACAGAATGGATCTTGGTTCTCTTATAGCCAGAGCCTGGATCGTAGCTGAGTATATTAAAGTTATCAATATCGTTCTCGAGTCTTTCGGCTCTCCCGAGGCAGACCGGGGAGGAGACTGATCTGGGAATTAGAGTTTGTTATCTCTATTCCAAGCCATGACATCAACATGTCCATGTGAGATATGATTGAACCGTCTGATTTGGCAAGCTAGTGACCCAAAGTACCTAAACGGAAGTGTTTCCGCGATTCATCAGCATTTCATCAGCACTCTGGGCTGCAAGTTCAGTCTGCGGGGGCTTCTTATTAGCTATTTATATAGGAAAACTGCATGTTGTATCAACTTGGTCGTACAAGAGGCTGTTGGCAGATAGCCCTAATTCAAGAAAAGGAAAGATAATCATCTCTGATGAAAGTTTGTCAAGGTTGGGGGAGACCGCTAAGGATATAAATGATATATTCCTGCCCAATGTAGATGATTCACCGATGATATCCGTGTCTAAGCATCACGGCTGATAGTACCAAAACATAAACCTCACAACTCTAGTGGTATCTAAACATATCCCTTCCATAAATCAAACCAGTCAAGCCACAACGCCAGCAGAAATAGAGACAGCCACACAGTTAAAACCCCCCAAAAGGATAATGGCTAATGGAACGATGTGGCGCAACATAGTAATCCTGGTATGGATGATTCTCCATCGAAAAGTCCGCAGTCGCCATGAGCGGATTAATCACCCCAGCTGGCACCTTGGGCCGGGCAGGAGTATGATCCGCGGTCAAAGGATGGTCACTGTTGAATAACGCCAGGATATCTTCCGACATATGCATTGGAGGACCGTGAGAGTCACTCCAGCCCCAGGCTTCCTGAAGCTCCTGCTTCACATGCTCTGCCTTCCAACCCGTCTGCTTTATGATGTCCTCGAGGATGCCCAAGGCCTCTTGTTGAGCTTCCCTAGTCGCCAGGCACTCCGCGGCAATAGCGAGAAAACGGATCGATAGACTTGCGACTCCGCTGCTTCATATTAGCATTAACTCAGTTATACGCATACTGGCAGTCAACGTACCGATCCCTGGAGTGTGCCACGATGCCGCAGATATCCCTTGCATGGCTTTGCTGTACGGTCTGCATCTCGGCACTGTACTCTGACTCGACAGGATTTGTCTTCGTAAGCAGGATGCGTGCAGTATGGTATAGTAGTCGAGCGATGATCGTAGAACGCTTGATCAGCCTATGAATGTTAATATAGCATGTGCGAATAGATCAACCGATGCTCACCATATCTGTGGAAAGACGGATTTAGAGTTTGTCTGCCACGATTGAATATATCCCAGAGGCATCATGGACCGCGGTACGGCTCGAGCCCACTGATCGCACCACTCATTATAAGTGCACCATTCCTGATAACGTTGGCTAATCCGCGCGTCGTTGGCAGCCTCCAGTGCCGGTGGTTGGGCTAACGATCGAAAGTTGGCAATTTTGGCGCAAATAAAGACCATCTGATGCGTCCAGGCTTCTTCATTGCCTGCAACACTTGGCTGTGCATGATTCAGATCCAGTTCAACGCCCCACGTGTCCGGGTCCCAGGAAAGCGTCCAATTGAAATGCAAACAGCTGAGTAATTCCATGCTTACATTCAACCAGAAACAAGCACCTCCCAGTCCCGGCGTTTTGGCATTCCAGTGACACTCTTTGATTAAAGCTCGCGCACCAGCAATGTGGCTCATGCCTTGAATCGGTCGGCCAGACATTAACTCGTAGATGTTCAGAAGAATCGCCGTAGTTGCGCATAGAGCCGAGTCGCGATCAGGGTCTTGTAAAGAGCGAAGAAGATATTGTGAGGCGACATTGTGATGTTCTGCAGCCTTCTCCTCTCCGTATGATGCGTCCACGTGGAAAAGATGCCTCGCACCGCACGCCAACAGAGCTTTGAGAAGCATAGGTTCTTCGAGGGCATGGAATGGCAGGATATGCGTGAACTATGAAAATAAGCATACTGACGACAGATCGCAAGGACCAACAACTTACATGTTTCACCGCATCCATCGAATCCATCCACAACCCGACCTCTTCAACGAATACCTGCAGCAGGTATACTTCCTCTGGGTTGTTGAGACAAGTATGGTTGGTGGCATTTATATGACCATCTTTTGTGGACCTGAACGGAGCAAAGGATGCACTTTGGTCGTAAAAAGCAGGGGCATTTGGTGGACCGCTAAACGGTCCTGCCAGACTCCCGGACTGGGGCGTCCCGAAGCCATGTACGAACGAGGCACTCAGACTAGGAGTCAGACAAGGCCCTGTCGCATTCCCCTTCTCCAACGAAGGTTCCGCCACTTCGGGGGGATATCTCTCAATCCCGCCAACATATTCAGACGCTATAAGTCGCGACTCATCCCGAAAAGTCACACCTGTCGCTGGTATACGGACTACGCAGTGCGGGGGTGTCGATTTCTGGATATCCATGAAGTTTAAGCGAATTCCACGCCTGCACACCCTGCCCGACTTCCGGCAGTTCTGGCATCGGTGCAAAGCCTCGTCGCACTTCAGGTGACGTTCCCGACATGTTAAGCAGCCTGTCCGCACTCGCCTCGGCTTCGCAAGGACAATCTTGCTTTTTCGCTTGGCGGCTGACGGACGTGGCGCATCCAACGATGTGCTGTTTGGTGTTGACACTCCGCCCTCGTCGGATGGGCTCGTGTCTTGTGTGATAGCCTCGGTCGTAACAGCCAAACTGTTTTCGTCGAGATCAAACTCGAGTATATCGGTGATCTGCCCTGAAGCGGTCAGGTCCAGTGAAAGATCCAGGTCCGACGGGACAGAGACATGGTCGCTGAGAGCTGACGCCATGTCAGGCTGCTTCGATCAAGGATAACCCGTCGAGCCTGAGCCACAGTATATCCGTCCAGACTTGGGTTATGATCATCAGCAAACCCCAGATTCAGCCCCCGAAACTGTCACTCCCGAGCATTCTGCCAACCACAAGATCTATAGCGCCGTCCGGCTTCCTAACGCAGCACCACTTCACATAGATATTCGGGGCCGATAAGATAAGTGACGTAGTTGACAGGGATGGCCAACTCTGATCGAAGGTTTGCGCACGATTCGAAGGTTTTCAAGGTGACACCGAAAATTAAATGCATAGGCACCGGTATTTGGAAGCGGACTAAGGGTCGTTGATCTGCTCGGAAATGCGGTTAGCTTGGGTTGAATGGTGTGAAATAGCTCACAGTCACAGTCAGACCTTAGGAAATAACAGCAGAAGGAGACAATGAAATGTCGTCAACCAACTCACACTGGTAATAGAGAGAGAGACCGGGGAGTCTCAAAAGATCCGCGGGGAATCGTGACTCCGGGTCGGAGAGACTAGTCCCAGAATGGCCTAGGCGACAGATCAATACCGCGGCAGAACAAAGAAGCGATACGGTCCCGCTTAATTATTTCATTTCATAGTCTACATGATGTGGTGCTTTTCAGAAATTCGTAATTTTACTTCTATGATTGTCTGTAAAGTGTTCACATCCCTTGATAAAGCTCGCAATTTTAACCAACATTACCTTTATCCATAACTTTTGGGCATTGAGTCGTGAATCAATGAGGTCTTCAGCAACGTGCTGTTCAAGATAGCAGCTGCAAGAGAGGTCTATTTTATCGCCGTCTACATTCGTCCGGCCAACACCATGTACTGTAGCAGATCAGCAGCTCAAGTCCTTATGCTTTAGTTCCCAGTCTGGGGACTCGGGCTCGAAGGTGCAGAATGAGCATAAGAGCACCCCAGATGGCAGCAGAGAAGAAAGTAGCGCGAAGGGCTAGCAGCATACGCTCCGATCACTAGGCAAGGTTTAGTACCTCTAACTTCCACGGGTACATTATCCATCACTTACCTTGTTGCTGATGCATTGAATCGAGTTTTGCGATTGCTTGGACGGATTTGCGAACCAGGAGGATGACATCCTCCTTGTTTGGTCCGGTGACCATCTCTTCGAGTTGATACACGAGGGTGTTCTGAAAGATCCAGCTGCTGGTTGCGACACCCATCACCGATCCGAGGTTTCTCCACAAACCCAAGGTCGTCGTGGCCACGGCCTGGTCCTCTTGATCAGTAGTGGCAAGAACCGATACCATTAGCGAGGGGAAAGAGCATCCTTGTCCGAGACTGGAGAGCGAAACGCAAACCATCGCAAGCCAATCAGGCGTACCAACGCCCATGGAAGCGGCAGCGCAACCACCGAGCAGTAGAAAGATGTCGCCGAAGATGATGGTTGGCTTAAGCCGTTTAGTCCAAGTGATGATGAAGCCTGTCGACACACTGGAGATTGTCACCGCAAGAGTTGAGCCAATTAGCCTGAGACCCGAGTCAGTCGGAGTAGCTAGCTTGACTGCCTGAAAATACAGGGGTGCATTGAAGACCATAGTGTTAACGGAGATGGCGCCGAAGAAGTTTCCAAAGATAAGGCTGGCGCGAGGCTCCTGTACCAATAACGAGATTGGCATTACTCCCCGCTCCACGGTCCGCTCATAGCGAACAAAAACAACAGCTAAGATGAAGGATGAGATCAAGGACGTGATAACAATGGGGTGAGTCCAGCTCAACACATTACCACCCAGATTCAGTCCCATAATCAATGAAGTCACGCCGACGACAAGTATGAACGAGCCCACAAGGTCAATGCTCTTGAGGAGCTGCATGAGACTCTTCCTCTCTGTTTTCGCCCTCTTCAAGCCCAGGTCGGCAGGGGTTGTCCAAGCTGCCACGATGAAGTAAACAAAGATGAAGGGCAATTGCACGAGGAACGCACCTCTCCATCCCACTTGGTCGCACAGGAACCCGCCAAATGCCAACCCAAGGCAGCCACCAATGCCCAGACAGAGGTTGATGTAGGACTGATAAACGCCTCGGTATTCAAGGCGCACTAGATCGCTGGAGAGAATCATGCCCATGGAGAAGACACCGCCAGCGCCGAGTCCGCAAAATGCTCGGGCAGCGATGAAGCTGAACATGCTTTGGGCGGCTGCACACCATGCCGTTGTGACGAAAAAGATGGCAATGGCGAAAAGATAGACTGGCTTCCTTCCAAATGTGTCAGAAATACGCCCAAAGAGCGGGAGGAAAGCGGTAGACGTCAATAGGAACGCGGTCGATAGCCAAGATGCGGAGTTCGAAGCGTGGAAGTATGAGGTTATAACAGGGTGACTCGAAGCCATCAGGGTGGAGTCAAAAAATCCGATCACGTATCCCATCATGATACCAGAGAAGATAAGCCAGAATCTCATGGGTGAGACATTGATGAACCGTGAAGCATAGCCAGTAGGCTCCCCGGCAACTCCATCTTCAGCATCTCCGGGCACTTGTTTCTGGCTCACGGGAGCAGAAGGGAGTCGTTCGAGATTAGGTTCAATATCGAGCCCCTGGGGGATTGAGGTGACTCTGGAGAGACTAAGCAACGCCGGGTCTTCTTCGGGGGCGAAAAGGGTTGAGGACAGGCTTGGATCAACATCCTTATCTACAGTCGTATCCTCTTGACTGGTATATAATGATTGACGGGAAGATTGATGCAACAGTGGTGTAGACTCAGTAGCTTGGAGAGATGATGGTGGCTTTCCATCTGTTGCATGGGGAGAAGTCATAATCGCAGTAGATGCGGTGAAAGAGACTGGATCAAATAATCACTCTAGCATACGACTTTGGAATAGAACTTAAAGATCATGAAACATAGTAAATGAAACTGAATATCTCCACTGAAGCTTTCGTTCATACAAAGAAAAGAAAAGATAGTTGAGAAGAAAACGAAGAGGAGCAGCCTACAAGGGGAGGTGTAATTCAGACGGGGAGACTGGCTGAGACAAATTTTATAGAGGGATTTTCTGGTGAGTGGCACTAAAGAATGCACGCTGCGGCACGGTGGATTCCCTCCCGCACGGAACTATGGATATGACTCGACTCGGTCAGCCTTTGCCTCCTCGACCTTATTGCGCGGAAAGACCAACCCATTCTCCACCGATTTGGACGGCTGCATTGGTTGGTTCACAGGCACGAGGAGCCCAAAAATTGACTTGCCCGTCAAAGTTCTTCAAGATTCATGGTAGACATGAAGCCAAACGAACCCTGGAAACTGTTTTGATAAGCGCAGTTAGCGGCATTGCTGCCTCCAACCCCTCATCTTTTAGTATGGGTTTAGGATGCATGTGGACAGGATCCTTCTTGATGCACGCAAATGAGTGTCTTGCTCGTGCTGCGATTTCGGCCCACTCCCTGAGCATCACGTGTGTCTACTCTTGCTGATTGGCTCAATGGCGGTCATCGGACCCCAAACCGTGTATGCACCCTGCACAGTCTAACCTAAATGGGGATAGTGGCCCTCACAGCGATACCGGCAGAGTACATCTCGGTAAGGCATCAATACCGAGTGGACTATCCACTACTTTAGCACTTATCTATGGGGATGCAGTAGTCACCTGTGTCATCTGCGGAGCTGATGGCGTGCGAACTGTCAGGCCCAGGTACCATCATCTCTCTACCAATGGTTACTTTTCTCTTATGACATTGATCGGACCACTAGCCGAGCTCTGTCGTTTCCGAAGCCAAGGATGAGTGATTTCTTTTAGACAGGTGAAGAGAATGAATCCGCCGGTACTGCCGAAGTCAATGGATCAGCCTTAGCAGATGACACAGTGCTGTATGCACGCAGCTTGCATGTTCAGTTAATGCTGCTGAAAGAACCCTGCCACATTGCACCAACTAGTTGCAGGATTCAATCCCGACTGCATGCGGTGTGCAACTAAGTACATACTTTGTATTCGTCTCTGCCCAATGCTTGAACAAGATTTACTCTTCAACCATCCAATCACCTCCGATCAAGAAAGCAAGAGCCATCCGGTGGCCGCTTTGCTATGACATCCTCCCCGCATCAAGATGCATGATCAGCCACTACTTGCAAAATTTTAGTCAAGGCCACCCTATCAGGTGCACCGTGTATACTCCTTATCAAGAACACTGCATTGTATTTGAGAGATTTTCAAGAGAGACATAGAACCTCTTGAATAAAGACTTTGGATGGAATCGGTCCGAGCGGGAGGCACAGCCGAAGGAGGTGGCGGGACTGATAACAGACTAGCGCATTCGATAAGAGCAGCCAACGGTGATTCATACACCACATTTACCTGTCCAGGCCACCATTTCCGACACTGTCATTGCGCATATCCAACAAGCAGATCGAACCATAATCTGCGAACAGCTTGCATCGCAATTAACTAGCTTTTCGACTTGCTCCTGCAGCTGCTTTCCTCTCCGGCCTCCGCCTTCGAATCACCGAATTACCCCTCCCTCCACCACAATGCCCCCGCTTCGTATCGCCATCCTTGAATGCGACACCCCAGTCGAGAAAGTAAACAACAAATATGGAGGCTACCGCGGTGTATTCTCCCTCCTACTCCGTGAGAGTGCTGCAGCACTAGGTCAGCCCGATAAGCTAGACCCAGAGACCGGCCTCGAGATTAGCGGCTGGGACGTGGTGACGGCGCAAGAGTACCCCAACCTGGAGGATGTAGATGCAGTTGTTTTGTCCGGGTCAAGTAAGTTACCTTCTACCTATTTCCCCCGTACCCTCCCATAATCTCCGCGCATCGTGCAGCATGCACCTCTCTGCAAGGCGCTCCCTGTGACTCATATGTCTCCTAGAATATGATTCCTTTGAGAACCACCCATGGATCCTGAAGCTGGTCGATTTCACCAAGAAAGCTTTTGAAGACAAGCGCGTTAAGATTTTCGCCATCTGCTTCGGCCATCAGATCCTGGCACGTGCTCTTGGCGCCAGGGTTGGTCGCAACACTGCAGGATGGGAAATTGCAGTGTGTGAGGTGGACTTGACTGAGACTGGAAAGGAGCTGTTTGGGAGGGATAAGCTTGTATGTCTACCACCCTTCTTTTCGAGATTTTTCAGAGCTCTCATATAGCTACGACGATGGAGCCCTGGACCTATGCTAACAAGTATGTTTACAGCGCATTCATCAAATGCACCAAGACATCGCATACGGATACCCGTCCGAGGTAGTGTCCCTGGGCGCTTCCCCGAGATGTGCCGTGCAGGGCATGTATGTCCCGGGGAAGTTGATTGCTCTGCAGGGCCATCCCGAATTCAGAGAAGATATTATATCCGAGATCATCAGTATGCGGACTGCGTCTGGTCTCTTCTCGAAAGAACAATCAGAAGATGCCTTGAGTCGCGCAGGTCTCCCACACGACGGCATCGCGATTACCATGGCCTTCCTGAAGTTTTTGATTTGAGCATACCTGACCATATAGAGCGATACTATACTCTCTGCCAGGATTAATGGCTGATACACCTTCATAGCTAATAGCCTGGCTACCCGATAAATTTCACCTCAAGCGACGCATATAGACAGATCAAGAATAGGAATCATACTTTTTATCCACTAAAGATGCAAATGGTTAAAACCTCAAACCCAAGCGCATCTAGCCAGATGACCATAAACGATGGGTATAGAGCGACCTATGAAATCAGAGACACCTAATTTAATAAACCACCGAAATGCAAGCGCTCAAAATCGACAAAACCTCCAAACAAGCAACAAACCAAATCCAAATAAAACAAGCACAGCACCACATCACCCCGAAGCCGACGGATCCTCCCTCTCCAGAAACGTCGGATCCATCTCGACCTTCCTCTCAAACTTCGTCCACCAATCACGGAAAGTCTTCAACGGAACCGTTTCCTGTCCTCTATTACTGGGATCCTCAGACGCAAAGCTGGCCAAGAAATTAAACGCATTGCCGATAATCCTCTGCGCCAGCACCTTCGTAGTAATTTCCTTCTGCTGTCGGTTATGTCGTACCAACTCCAGCGACTGCCCCGCACCACCACCAGCCTGTTCCGCCTCCAGCGCAGCAATCTGCGGTGCAACAGCCTGAACAGGTTCAAGCGAGATCCCCAACGTCACCATTGGTGCTCCGCCAGCCATCGCATTTCCATTTTGTAGTCCTGGGATTTGCGGCGCCTGGACTTTAAGAATCGCAGAGGGTCTCTCATTTGCTAGCGCTCCGATAAACTTGAACTGGGGTGCATTGTTGGTCGGATCAGGGAATTGGATGTAAATCGCAGCGGCGGTATCGGGCGGGAGGACGGTGCCGGGGAGAAAGAAGACGACGAGTTCGGTGAGTTTGGGCGGGAGGGGGAAATTGAAGGCAAATTTTGTAGTTTGGCCGTTTGGTTGTGTTTCGACGGCGACGATGTCTGTGAGGCAGGGGTGGTCTGGTATGATGACGGAGAACATGGTGGGCAATTAATGATGATGATGAATTAGGAGTGTTGTATTGTATAGAGCATGTAGATCGGACTTCGATCTGGTTGGAGTGGTTGAATCTTAATGGTGTATTGTTATAGCCGGACTAGAACTGATCGGAAGGAATTGCGACGCATGGCTTAAAAGAGTTGTTTCTTTGGAGCTTCTCCGGGAGGTGGAGAAAGTAAGCTAGCTAGGCCAGCCTTTTGAAGAATTTCCTGGCGCGTTCCATGATGGAATCTCAAAGAAAGACTCGGTGACGAAATACCCGTCTTCTGGCTATTGCCCTTATCGATAAGGGTTCCCTTCCCGCCCGCCGTGCTCTAGGCTGGTTGATGAACATCCCGTTGGTAGGGGGGCATCCCCGCGGCTGACTTTTGTGATTGTTGTTGTTGGTGATAGACTCACTAGACTGCAGGCTCTGTATATATACGTCTTTTTTTGATACATTGCTTTGGCATCATGGGCAAGTCAAATCTCGAGTTGGTCATTGAGTGCGATAGGTATTTATTTCCCTTTCCTCCGTACTGATCGCTTGGATTCTAATCGTCAGATCCGCATGGCAGATTTCCGTACTACCAAGATAGCCCCGCATCCTATCTTGAACATCTGAAGAACTACCATGTTTTCAAGGTCGCCGGCTGCGATGCTACTCTCGGATATATTCTGAACTCGACAGTCGAGCGGTTCAACTTGCCCTCGGAATGGTGGGCAATTGACTCCGACAACCGGAGCGTCACCCTCCTTGCTCCGGCCGACGCGACTCCTCAACAGCTTAGCGAGATTATGGCCAAGACGTTGAACAAGGCAGTAGAGCTGGGAACATTTGACATTCTCAAAGGATGGCGCAATGAGATGTATCCTATCTATGGACCAGGTGGTGAATTCCTCCTGGAAATGGAACGATCTGCTACCCCGCTATTCGGTGTCGTCTCGTACGGCGTGCACTCGACCGTTTACGTGGAGGACGAGAATGGTCTACGTATCTGGGTACCCAGGCGCTCGAGAACCAAGCAGACATACCCCGGTATGCTTGATAACTCCGTGGCGGGCGGTATGAGCACCACGGAGCACCCGTTTGAATGTCTTGTCCGTGAGGCGATGGAGGAAGCGTCTCTGCCGGAGGACGTTGTCAGAGCCAATGCCACTCCGGCGGGATGTGTCACGTACACGTATGTCCGGAGTGCAAAGGCTGGAGGCGAAACGGACCTGGTACAGCCGGAGGTCGAGTATATCTTCGATGTTAAGGTTGGGGCAGATATCATCCCCAAGCCGTGCGACACCGAAGTCGAAGAGTTCAAGCTTTTCACTATCGAAGAAACGAAGCAGGCATTGGCTAATGGGGAGTTCAAGCCCAACTGTGCCGTCGTCTTGATCGACTTCTTCGTCAGACATGGTATTTTGACACCGGAGAACGAGCCGGACTATCTTGAGATTATCGCACGGATGCATCGGCGCTTGGAGTTCCCGACCGCATCACACGTGCCAGTATAAACTACAGCTGACTCGCATGTATGGAATCAGGAATGTGTTGTGAAGCAAGATTTAATGTTCTATTTGATATACCCTATCACCAATCAAACGCCGGCGCTGCAATCAAAGTACCCCAAGCATGCAAAAGACTTTTCTGACTATCCGAGACAGAACGGGCCAACGCCTCAGACCTTCTGAACACTATATGTGATGGTCGTGAAAGTTCTTTTTTGTCTATTTCTTCAGGAGCAGATACACGTAGTCGATCCTCAAGGGTGCCAGCTTCTTGTAAGGACCTTCGAGGTAAAGCAAAAGACCACCGAAAGAGATGAAAACGGCCCTAGACACGGATTTTAGTCAGCTGTTGTACAAAGAACGATCTCGGTCACACGGCGAAGTAGTCCGCAGCAGACTGCGATCCGCGACACATGGGATAATCTTACATGTTACCCTGGCTGGAACCCTCCTCGAAGCGGTAAACCTTGCCATGGCAGACATAATCGTAGTCGTTAGCCAAGGTCTGCTCGCCCATTCCAACCTCTCTCCAGCCCTTCGATCCGGAGTCGTCCTTGCCATCCAGAGAAAGCGTCGAGGCCAGAGCCATATTCAGCGACTCGTTGACAACGCAAGGGTAAAGCTCGGAGTTGACATCGAGAGTGAAATGCGAAAGGGTGTCGGTCGAGTTGCAGCTCAGACGCGAAACACGGTCATATTTCTGGGAGTTGATCGCGGTGATCGTGAAGGTGTCTTCGAAGAGTAACGGGTCGGACATGGTTGCGATGGTGGCTTCGAGCGTTCAATTGAATCGCAGAATATGTAGAATATCGGCTTTTACGCTAAAGGCGGTGATCGGGGTAAGGGACAAGACGTGCGCTGGCAACAAGATGATGTGGTGGTCGTGGTAGCGCCAGAAAGGTGAAAGCGAAGAAGTCGAGGGCGGACAGCTTTTTTGCTCGACTTTTAGCGCGGCGCCGCTTTTACTTTCCCGGAGCTGCCCCGCAGCAAATCTTCAAAGTATTCCCGTTCGGTTCATTGCGTTCCAATCATTCTACCAACTTACACAATGTCTTTTCGCAAGAGAAATATTGGTCTTTCGGCAGGCGCTGATCGCACCGGTGCTGTTAATGCTAACGCACAGCCGCAACACGCCCCTGCGACGCCAGAATTGACTCCCGGCGTTCGCCCCTCTCCCGACGATGGGCGGCCGACTACTTCCACTGGTACTCCGTCGCTGGATAACCTTTTGGCTGGGCATGGAGGTCTTCCCATAGGGAAGACGCTACTGATTGAGGAGAATGGGACTACGGACTTTGCGGGTGCATTGCTGAGATACTATGCGGCAGAGGGTGTGGTGCAAGATCAAAAGATTCATGTCGTGGGAATGCCTGAGCAATGGGGAAGGAGTCTTCCGGGCTTATTAGGTCCGGCTGATGCTGTTGATGACAAGCAAGATAAACGGAAAGGAGAGCGCATGAAGATCGCTTGGCGATATGAGCGTCTGGGCGAGTTTGGAGCAGGGATTGCTGGTTCAAGAGGTATACACCTTGTCATATTGTCATATTGTCACTGCACCAGTTTAGGGTAGTGTGCTAACAGACGCGATTCTGTAGCACCCTCAGGAGACCAGAGCCAATCTGCCACTGATCCAAACGTCGACAAGCGGCCAGCATTCTGCCATGCATTTGACCTCACGAAACGTCTCACACATCCTTCCATCGCCAACGTGAACTATATACCCCTCGCGCCATCGAACGAGCCATTGTTTGTGTCGATTCATAAACGACTTCAAGCCGCGATTGCCTCTTGTCCACCTAACACTGTCCATCGCATCCTCATTCCTTCCTTGCTGAACCCCACGATATACCCGCCCGATTCCTGCCAGCCTGATAACCTTCTGCCGTTCCTACACTCACTCAGGGCTTTGATGAGTGCGCAGGGTGCGCGGGTGACGGCGATGATCACGTTGCCCTTATCTCTTTTCCCCCGCGCCACAGGGCTTGTGCGATGGATGGAATTATTGAGTGACGGTGTCATTGAGCTGTGTCCCTTCCCACACTCCTCCGACGCTCTCGCAACTTCGGGTGCCGCTACTTCTCAGGAGGAACCGCCACAGGGCATGCTGAAAGTCCATCGTCTGCCGGTCCTGCACGAACGTGGCGGTGGTAGCGATCAGAACATCGGACAGGACTGGGCTTTCACGCTGAGCCGAAAGAGGTTCGAGATCAAGCCATTCAGCTTACCGCCAGCTGAAGGAGACAAGGAAGGGCAGGATGCAGCGGTGACGGGCTCAATGCCAAAGAAGGCGGATCTTGAGTTCTAAGTTTCGCGATGGGTTGAATAGCCAAAACCAGACCACAATCACTCCTCGTGATCCGAACTGTCCAACATATTCTGCAGCTCGATCTGCTCGGACATGGCGGACCCAGTGTTGACCATTGACCGGAGGTAGTGTCTTCCGTATGAGTCAATCCCCGGTCCAGCAGGTGATGCTGAGAAATAAGACCGAAGACGAGGTGCGATGTATCTCGAGAAGCCTAGATATGCTTCGAGCTGTCAGCAGCTGTCATTGGAGATAGGCGAGCGGTTGTACCTAGGAGTAGCAGAAAGGGTGCAAAGAACACCAGGAACAGCAGGGACAAGAAGCTCATTATGTCTTGTGGCAATAGAGTCACTTGAACAGCTTTAGATGATGATTATACGACTCTTATTATCTAGTGGTAGCTTCCAGGAATCGCTGAAGAGCATCAACTCCGACATAACATGACTAAGCACATACGATCCACTAGCTTGAATAGGAAAGGCGTACTTTCAGCGCAGCTCTTTAAGAGCTTCCACCCCACCGAATATTTTTTCTCGCTTCCATCCTCATCGCTCATTCAACGATAATCTGGATTTGCTGGCCAAGTCCACGAGCCTCATACTTCAATTCGATACTATATAATGCTGAGTTGTATTGATGGTAAGCAGTGATCCTAACCCTCTGCGCAATTGTCCCTTGCTTGCATGATTATACAAATACTATAATCTGTCAATCCCCTGAAGCTCATTAAAATAATCTCATTAAAACGAGCATATGTGATTGAGAAACGTATCGAAAATGAATAGCATTTTCTTGCGCTTTTACATTTCATCCATACCATTCATTGGAATCTGAACGCTAACGTTCATATTCAGTCGCAGCAGCAGATCCCTTGATAAATTGAGTTGTGCCCCTTAGTCGCTAAAAAAATGGATATCGAACCCACCCTTCCTATTCCGATCTCGTATATTGGGGGTAGCTACTTTCTCTTCTCAATTGATGCAGTTACGTATGTGAGACGCGAGCATCACATTTGCGGCGTCTTAAGCGGCACATTGCCTCAAATCCCACAACAGAATGTCTTCCTGGGCTTGCCCTTGAAGCTAATGCCGGAAGAGGCCCGGTTGCTCGTGGAGAAAGGTGTAGCATGCATTGTAGACGAGGTAAAAGTCCAAAAGGACGGAATGCGAGCCCTCATGGAAGAGGATCGCAAGAAGTATCTCCGTGAGCTAGAATCTCAAGGCCAGCATGCTATGCGACTACAACACGACCGGAAGGAGCAGCAACGCGAGAAGGCTTTAAAGAAAATAGAAGAAAAGAAGGCCGCCAAGGCCAAAAAGTCTGCTGAAAAGCAGCAGCAGGAGGAGCAGCCTGACCCTGTTAATAATGAGGCTGCTGCTAAGGACCCGGTTGTTGACTTGTTCGCACACGATCAGCAGTCGTCGCGCCGTTCTTCGTCCGCCACTGCTGCTGCTGCTCCCTTTGGCAATGTTATGGGAGTCACGCCTGCTACGTCTTATCCGCCTCTTCCGTATGAGTGGTCTGCTGAGCAAAAGCTACCGCTTCCTGATGTGCCTTCCTCATACCCATTGTTCGCTCACCTTCACTCTGAGGGATACTATCTGTCCCCTGGCTTGCGATTCGGGTGTCAGTATCTTGCCTATCCTGGTGATCCTTTACGGTTCCATTCCCACTTCTTGAGTGTGTCTGCTGAATGGGATGAGGAGTTGGATTTGATGAGTATCGTTGCTGGGGGTCGACTAGGTACTGGTGTGAAGAAGGGTTTCATGATTGGAGGAGCTGAGAAGAAGCTCGAGGGATCGGATGCTGGGGATCCCAGTAGTGTGAGGACTTTCAGCATTGAATGGGGTGGAATGTGATGTGAATCATATTCGACGTTCTCTTCGGTCTTATTTATCGTCTCTGACTTGAGCTCCGCATGCTGCAAGCTGCGCGCGCAGCATATTTTATTGCTGCTTTTCTCCTCGGTGGAGTAGAAGCGCATTGTCAGAGGGAGCTGTGCAGAGCTGCAAACTGCTTTTAGCGCTCTCTCAAGTCCAGCAGAAATGCATACGGACATGACTGCAGCAAATCCTCAAGACAGCTGGTAGAGCTGTTACCTGACAAGGTTACGAGAATACTCTACAGCTGTCGATTCTCCAGCACACCCCAGGCAGCGCAGTCCGACATAAAGGATTTCATTCACAGCCTTGAAGATCATACCATGGCTGAATAACAAACATGAAATCAGAACGAAACCATTCTTCAATTATACAATTCAATCTATCTCCGCGTACACTTGTAGTTGCTACCAAGTCAGGTCTCGGCCTCTTATGCACAAGGGCACGTCTCGAAAGCCTTGGGGTATCCTGCTGGACCGAGCTGACAAGGCAATCGGTCTTGGTTCACTCCAAGGACTCACTCGACAGCAAGTCTCGTTCACATCGTGAGAGGAACATTAATCCCTCCATCGATAATCAAATGCTGGTGCGAAGGCCAGTAAAGTCCCGTGCCTTTGTAGGAGCTGCGCCCTGATAATCCCATATGGATTAATATCTCCGTAGCGGCCCGTGCCTGCTTGATGCGAAGCCTGTCAGATGTGCTGCAGACGGCAGTTCTCTCGATGCTGCATCTCCTGGCGCATCAGCCTCGAGTGGTCTACCACAACTGTGGTTGGTCTACCACAACTGTGGTCAAACTATACTCGGGTTCCAAGCTCTGCAGGATAGTCTCCCTTGACCGTTCACTCGCGCAATCCATCATAAAGCGATCTAACGATCATTTCCAATAAAAGTCTTCCACCCTCCCAGCGGCCTAGATATAATCCACATTCCGCCACTTGAACTTCTTATTCGCTCTGTCCACCGGACGATTCTGGAACTGACTGCCATGAAGCTCAAACACAAGCTCGTCCTTCTTCTGAGAATCAGCACTCGCCTCCCCAGCCCCCGCCGCCCCATCAGCATCATCCGCCTCAGGCAAAGGCACACTAAACCGGAAAATAGTCTGCTCCTTAGGAATAGCTAAAACAAGAACCACATTAGCAACACACCCAACCCAAACTTCATCATCAAAAGAAAAGAAGGGAAAAAAACAAAACATACTCTTAACCTCATCCCCCCTCGTAACCACCACAAACGTAAACTTCGTATCCCTGACCACAATCCCCCTAACCCCAACCCTCCCCTCACACCGACTCCTCACGACCTCCACCTCCGCCCCATGAAAATCCGCACTGGAGAGCTTACTCCCATGCGACAGCGGCGTCATGGGCGGCTTGAATTTCTTCTCCCCCAAGTCCAACATATCCTGCATATACCGCACCCACATGCCATGCAGTTCCTGGAAAATCGCATACTTGCATTCTTCCTTGGGGAGGTCGTACAATCCCGAGGCGCGCTTCTGGCGCGCGGATAAAGGCTGCGGCTTTTGTTTGCGCAGGAAGTACTCTTTCTTGCGCAGGCGGTGGAGGCGACGCCGTGAGCGGTTGTCGGCGGGTGTTGGGGATGTTGGCCGCACGTAGAGAGGCTTTTGTTTTATGCGCTCGGTGAAGAGTTGGCTTGCTGTGTCGGGGGAGTGCGCGCGTGAGAGGAGGGTGTGGGCGATGTGGGGTTTGGGGGTTGTCATTTTTGTGGATGGTGATGGTTCTGTGAGGGAGAGGAAGGGGGTATGTGTTGGGGATTGAGTGGTGGTTTAGTGGTGGTGGTGACGGAGTGATGGATGGTGTTGGTGTTGGAAAATTGGTGGTTATCGGAGTTGCTGATAAGATCACATGCTGATTGGGTTGGGTCCATCGGTTGGAGATGTATGCTACTCTTGCATTCAGCATCAATGCATCGGGATTAGAATCCCAGGCAAATTCTTCTGTTTATATGATTTGATGAAGCTACAGGATTGTCAATGAGAGGAGATTGATGAGTTTGAAGTACCTTCAACGCCAACTGTGCTTGGTGAAGCTAAGTGAAGGCCTCGCCTACGAATTGATTGCCATAGCGAATAGCTCAATTTTGACGATACTATAGTGATTGCTAAGCTAAAGACGACTTTTACATCATGAATGCTACATTTGTTCTCTATATAACTCCTGGACTAGGATTACATACATATACAGTCCCCGCATCTAGTCTTGTCTGTTAATCTACGCCTCCACAACATCAACCTATGCGGCAAAGAAGCCCTCAGATCAGAACATAGAGCACGATGTATCGCTCAGATAACATGACAGCTTAATTATTATATATGGTATGCTATGTGTTTGACTGTCCGCCTCGTTTTGGGTCACATTATGGTTGCCGATCATCCCTCGGCATGAATGTCTTCCCCGCATATCGGCACCAACTATATATACTACTACCAAGTATCGATGATGGGACAACCCTACCAGATTGCCCATCCAACATCAATCAAAATGTTCGATCCAAGCAGCCTACCTCCATTCCCCTCCTCTATTCCTACAGCTCCTCTGCTCCGTCTCTCACTTTCCAAATTACAAGCCCACGATGCCACGGAAACCCACAACCTCCTACAAGCCTGCAAAGACATCGGGTTCTTCTACCTCGATCTCCGCGACGCCGACGAGGGCATAAACCTCTTAAAAGACGCAGACAAGCTCTTCCCAATCGGCGAACGCCTATTCGACCTTCCCCTGGACGAGAAGAAGAAATACGACCTCGCCAGGCAGAACTCCTACTACGGATACAAAGCCCAAGGCGCCATGATAGCAGACAGACAGGGCAACCTAGACGGGAACGAATTCTACAATGTCCCTACCCCCATCCCCATTACACCCTCCTCCACACACTCCAACCCCATACTAACACCAACATAGGTCTCCAAAGACGACATCCTAACCCTCACACCCTCTCTCCCATCCCCCCAAATCATCCAAGACTCCCGCCCCCTCCTCTCATCATTCATCCAAACCTCCCACAACATCGTAACCCTCCTCCTCTCAATCCTAAGCACCAGTCTCTCCCTCCCCTCCTCAACCCTCCCCAACCTCCACCGCCTAACTTCCCCAAGCGGGGACCAAATCCGCTTCATCAAGGCCCCTCCTACCACCACCACCACCACCCAGAACAATCCCACACTAGGCGAACACACCGACTTCGGCAGCGTCACCATTCTCTTCAACCGTCTCGGAGGCCTGCAAGTCCTCCCTCCCGGAGCGGACGCAGAATGGACGTACGTGCGTCCCCTACCCGGCCATGCTATTATCAATCTGGGTGATGCGATGGTGAAGTTCACGAATGGGCTGTTTCGGTCGAATATCCATCGCGTGGTTGCGCCGCCGGGACAGCAGGCGGGGTTCACGCGGTATAGTCTGGTGTATTTTGCGAGGCCCGAGGATGAGGTTCCTTTGCGGCGGTTGGAGTCGGAGAGGATTCCGGCGTTGGGGGAGGGCGTCGTTGAGGAGGAGATCAGTAGTAAGGAGTGGGTGATTAGGAGGGCGTTGGGGAGGAGGGTGGATTTGGGAAGGCCGGTGGATTATGAGAAGGCGGCGGGGACGGAGGGGGTGAGTAGGAGGTTGGGGGTGTAGGGTTGGTAGTTGCAAAATATTCCTAATGATTTTCATCTCTGGGAGTGTTGGTCACAGGTGCTTTGTTGGGAACGGAGAGGCTTTTTTATATGATTCTTGCTGGGTCTGGTCGATGCGTGGAGGGGTATACTAGAGGGTCATGTCGATCATAAGAAGTAGCCAGTATCTAGTGTCTGTAGTTTATATGATGAACCATATTGTAAACGATAACTAGAGCCTTGGTAGCATTACTCATTTGTTTCTTCAATCACCTTGTATTCAGACATTAGGATCACAGCACAGTCAACTACTACTTTACTCAAAATCATCAGGATAATCATCCTCATCATCGAATGGCAAACCATGCACATCCGACATGCCGCGTCCACTAGGTTCCTGGATCCTCTGCATTCGGTGTCTCGACTGAGACTGATGAAAGGCCATTTCATCAAAGTCATCATGTCTATCAACTTGCCACTGCTGAGCACCAGTAGTTCGAGGAGAGCCTCCACCCACACCACCTACAATATCATTCGCACGACCACCACCACGACGCCGATTCCTCGGAGGCGACATAACCTCCTCAGAAGCCCTCATAGTCTGCTGGTTATAGCCAGAGGAGAATCTATGCAGAGTCCGGTCACCCGACATATTAGGCACCCAGTCATCCGATCGTAACCGTTCAACAAAAGCGCGATGCGCCATATCAGCTCCAAGGACCCGCGAGACATAGTCATAGAATTCCTTGGACGCAGCTGCAACTTGCTGAACGTGCTTAACCTGCAGAAACACGGGCTTGGAGGTTTCCTCGGCCTCGAATTCCGCCAGCGCGATAGCGGTTTGACATCCGTTGCGAATTTGTCGCCCGTTCCAGCGAGTTCTGGATTTACTGTTCTGCTCCCAGTTGGCGTCAGCCCACTCCAGGATGGGGCCGGTGTCGATGGTTAGTGATGTCTTTCGAGACTTGGCTTTTTCTAGATTCATCTCCCAGATCGCGTGGTTCTGGCCTTTGTTGAGCCCTGGGTAGTAGAGAGCTAGGTGAATGCGAGAGACGAAGGCTTCGTCGAAGGATCCTACTCTGTTGGTGGTCAGGAATAGTAGGCCTTTGTAGTATTCTAGTACTCGTAGGAAGACTTTTCGTTTGAAATGTCAATGTCAGTAAGGATGGAGAATCCTGTCAAATAGAGTAGACGGGGGATATGCTCACCTGATACAATTGCGTTCCTTTCCAACTCCGTTTTGCTGCGCGCCGCAAGGAAGACGTCGGCTTCGTCTAGTAGTAGGACGCAATTCCACGCCTCAGCCTGGGCGGATATACGATTCAGCTTGTCTTCCACTACTTCCGCGCTTGTCCCCAAGTCACCGCAGGTAATCGGATACAGTGGTCTTTCAAGCCAAGCAGCCATGCATTCAGCAGTCGAGGTCTTGCCTACACCCGGCTCGCCGTGGAGCAAGATAATGAGGCCTTCTCCTTTTCCTCTGACCACGTCCGGATCAACTTGCTGGCTTTCTCCGTCCTCTTTCGACTTTCTATCTGCGAAATGGCGCTTCACCTGCGCGTAGAGCATTCTCTTGTGACCAGGCCGCAATTTGAGATTCTTCCAGCCATCGTCGGTAGGAACAGGACGCATGCGTTCGAGGTCGCAAAGTGCCCAGCGGCGGCGATGGAGATCCCAAGCGCAAGCACGGTCGGGCATCATAACGAGCTCATCATTGCTCCAGAATTCCTTCCTGGGTACTTGCTGTTCCGGGGCAGACTCTTGCCGAGCCAGGAAGGCATCGTCGCGGATGAAGTCCTTGGTTAACTCTGCGTCCACCCAGTCGTCGTCGTAGATCGTTTCGGAAGACGATCGAATATATTCCTTAGACTCGCGGTTTGCTAGTACTTGGATATACAAAGATTCGGATACTTCGCTTCCTGATCCTCCCATGGTACTGGGAATCGACAAGCTGGGCACCCACTCCTGGTCTTCGTTGCGGGCTGTTTTGAAATCAACAATGATATTACCCTTTATGTAGTCGGTTCGTCTGTTAAAGCTTCCCGGGCAGGATGCGCCATCCATGTGGCATGTTAGGGTGGACCCCGAATAGAAACGATGTTGTGGGGTAGCGAAAGTAGCAAAGAGTTCGCCCTGCTTCAATAACTTATCGCGCAGCGCTGGGTAATCGCCCACAAACTGAGTCGGAACTATGCCCAAAGTCCGAATCGGGCGCTCTCCACTGAAGTGAGGAAGATGAAAGTCTCGTGAAAGCACGCCGAATTGCTCTCCATCGTATCCAATCTTATAAAGTCGGATGATGAAAGGGTTAACCCGTCCGGAGTAGCTGGAGTCCAGGACTGGTCGTCCCTCAGAAACCTGCAGCACTTTCCATATACTTGGACGATTGGTTGGCTGGACATGTGGTGCACTTTGCTCCGGAGTGAACCAACAAACCACCTGCATACCTGGGTGGAATAGATACCATAGATTGCTGAAAGAGATTGCTGGGTCAATTGTCGATGGGCTTGGAGTGAAGTTTTTCAGTAGAGCACGATGGCGGCTTATTACCGGACTGAGATGACGATCCATGAAACTGACAAGGCAGTCGAGCGCGCGAAAGGCCTGACGAGAATTAATTGGCTCTTTGCCTGGTTCTAGAGGTGCAGGGTCATCGAGCTCCTCATGCCCACTTGCTATTTGCCATCTAGCAGCTAGCTGTCGATGCCGCTCGCGTATCTCCTCGTCATATCCGACGAGTACTTTGTATGGGCGTAAGACGACAAATGGGGCAGGCTGGTCAATCTTGGAAACAATATCCCTCAGAACGGACGCTAAAAGACTGGAGTTGATTCGAATACGCTCAGGGAGATCGTCTTCGGCGCCGCCGGTATCTAATTTGGGCTTTGGATCTCCTTCTGATTTCTTTTCGTTCTCCTCAGCCCTTATCAGGGCAAGGATTCCGAAGCGGCGGATGCTTCTCTCGGTTTGCTGCCAGCAGTATTGCGCAGGGCCCTCCAAGACATCGATGACGTGACGTTTTTCCTCGGCATACATCGTCTTGAATTCGTTCCATTTCACGTAACGGAGATCCATAATAACATCATCGGAATCATCGCATGGGTAATGCC